ACTATCCCATTTCTATCTCCAGACTTGCTTGCATAACCTAGTGCCTACTCAGTATCTTCATGTGGTTGTCTGATGTGATATAGATGTCTATGTCAAACTTAATGTGCTCAGAAAATGAACTCATGATCTTCCTGTCCAAATTGCTCCTCCTGCAACCTTCCTCATCTAAATGAGTGGCAATTTGGTCTTCTAGTTGGTCAGGCCAAACACCCAGAAACCATCCTGAGCTTTTTTTTTTTTTGAAACAGGGTCTCGCTCTGTTGCCCAGGCTGGAGTGAAAGTGGTGCAATCATGGCTCACTAAAGCCCTGACATTTCAACCTCCCAAGGCTCAAGCGATCCTCCCACCTCAGCCTCCCAAGTAGCAGGGACTATAGGCGCGTACCACCACACCCAGCTAATTTTTGTATTTTTTGTAGAGACGAGGTTTTGCCCTGTTGCCCAGGCTGGTCTCAAACTCCTGGACTCAAGCAATCATCCCATATTGGCTTCCCAAAGTGTAATCCAAAGGGATTACAGGTGTGAGCCACCGTGCCTGGCCCATCCCAAGCTTTTCTCTCTCTCTGATATTTCATATCCAATCTGTTGGCAAATCCTGTTGACTCTACCTTCAAAATATATTCAGGATCTGACCATTTCTTAGCCATTGCTGCTGCCCTGGTTTAAACCATCATCATCTCTTACCTGGGTCGTTGCCGTCACCTCCTAACTGGTCTCCTAGCTTCTGACCTTGCCCTCCTGTACTCTTCTCATCACAGCAGCCAGTGTGCTCCTCCTAAAGCATGCCAGCCAGCACGTGCCATTCTTTTTTTTTTTTTTTTTTTGAGATGGAGTCTCGCTGTTATCGCCCAGGCTGGAGTGCAATGGCGTGATCCCTGCTCACTGCAACCTCTGCCTCCCGGCTTCAAGCGATTCTCCTGCCCCAGCCTCCCGAGTAGCTGGGATTACAGGCGCCCGCCACCACACCTGGCTAATTTTTTGTATTTTCAGTAGAGACGAGGTTTCACCATTTTGGTCAGGCTGGTCTGACCACTCAATTTAAAATTACATTCAGGTTGCTAAGACTTTGTCCTCTATGCCCTGAGGTCTCTGGACCTTCCAGGTAGGAGCTGAGAACGCTTGGTTGGTCCACTCTAACTTGCATTTCTCCCCATCCCTCAAGCAATTCTTATCACCTTTCCCTGCTTGGGGCTTCACCATGGCATATATGATCATCTGATGTACAGTGTATTTTATTTTATTTATTTTGGTGGTTGTTATCTGTTTCTTGCCACTGGACCATAAGCTCTGTGAGGGGGTATTCTTACCTTCTTGGTTCATCATTATGTTCTCAGCACTTGGCATATAGGCACATAATAAATATGAATAAATGAATGAATGAATGGATGGATTCCTAGTACTTCTTGCTTCTCTTTCTATCATAGTCATCATGATTATGATGCAGTACCTAGTGTGTCTCTATCTCTAGAATGAAACAAAGAAAGCTGTGTTATTGTCTTGCTCACCTTATACACCCAGCACTTAGTAGGTGCTCCAAATTATATGTACTGCATGAATGAAGGTTTCTGAGATGCTAATCTGACCATCTTCACCCCTGTTTCTGCCCTTAAAGCCTATTGCCCTCAGTACCAAACCTGAATCTCCTTAGCATATCATAATCACTTTCCCCTTATCTCATGTCTTGACACTTTTCTCCCCCTTCCATATCCTCTAAGATCCAGCCTTTCTTGAATATGCCATGCTCTCTCACTCCCAGGCCTTTGTACTCACTGTTCTCTTCTTGGAAAGCTCCACCTGACTAACTCCCACTTGTCCTTTAGGACTCAGCTGAGGTCACATTTTCTGGGAAGTTTTCCAGACCCTTAAGGCAAGCTTGTGTCAGTGGGGGTGGGTGCATAACCCATCTCCAGCTTAGTCCTGCCCAGGCTTCTGCTGACATCTGATTGTTGTGTGTTGGCCAGAGAGGTTGAAGATTAGCTCAGAGAGAATGTTGATGTTGTAGAATGTAGGGTAATGAGAATAGCAGTGGGTGAAATGGAGGTTGAAGCAACTAAAAGGCAGAGTGGGCTCCGGGCTGTCAAGACATTGTCCTCTATGCTCTGAGGTTTCTGGACCTTCCAGGCAGGAGCCAAGAACCCTTGGTTGGTCCCTCTGACTTGCATTTTTCCTCCTTCCTCTCTCTCAGGGGGGGATGTTACCATCACTGACCTACCCCTGGCCCTAGAACAGATCCAGGGCAACGTCCAGGCCAATGTGCCAGCTGGAGGCCAGGCCCAGGTGCGTGCCTTGTCCTGGGGGATTGACCATCATGTCTTCCCTGGAGACTATGACCTGGTGCTGGGGGCCGATATCGTGTACCTGGAACCCACCTTCCCTCTGCTGCTGGGGACCCTCCAACACCTGTGCAGGCCCCATGGCACCATCTATCTGGCCTCCAAGATGAGAGAGGAGCACGGGACAGAGAGCTTCTTTCAGCACCTCCTGCCCCAGCATTTCCAACTGGAGCTGGCTCAGCGGGATGAGGATGAAAATGTCAACATCTATAGGGCCAGGCACAGGGAACCAAGACCTGCTTGACATCACCCCTGCTGTTCTTCTCAGTCTCTTGCCCTAATGAAGGAACTGGGTATCTCAAAAATCATGTTTCCAGAGCCACAAACATGAAGACCAAAAAGGATGGATTTCCCTGGCCTCTCTCACTTTCTTCCTTCCCTCTTTGTTACCCCAGATACTCTTGGGCAGGTGCAGTGAGGGACCTGCTTACCAGGAATCCCAGAGCTCTGGCAGCACTAGTGTTAGAACACCAAGGAGGTTCCTGGCTCCTGTTCTCAGAGGAGGAGGATGGTAAGGTATCTAGGATTTTTAGGGGCTAAGGCAGGTATGTGGGATATGAGAGCAGTGGTTGTAGAGAGACTGTCACTGATCACTTCCATTCCTGTTGCTGTTTATACAGAATGGACTTAAAAAAAAATTCTATGGGATTTTTTTTTTTCTTTTGTTTGAGACAGGGTCTCACTCTGTCACCCAGGCGGGAGTGCAGATGCATGATCACAGCTCATTACAGCCTCAACCTCTCAAGGCCCAGATGATCTTCCTGCATCAGCTCCCCAAGTAGCTGGGACTAGAAGCATGAGCCATCATGCCAGCTAATTTTTGTATTTTCAGTAGAGAAGGGTTTTGCCATGTTGCCCAGGGTGGTGTCAAACTCCTGGGCTCAAGTGATCCACCTGCCTTGCCTCCCAAAGTGCTGGGGATTACAGGTATGGGCCACTGTGCTAGCCCAGGATTTTTTTTGTTTTTGTTTTTTATTTTTTAAAAAAGAATTAAGCCTTAAAAATCTGTTGTGCAAGAACTCAGCTTTTGCTCAGGAGCTGAGAAGGAAGAAGCCTCAAACCACCTGTTTCCTGCTTTTTAGAGATAGAATCTGGTGGAACCATGGCTCTAACTGAGTCAAGTCCTCCCAGCTCCGAAGCTGAGGCTGCAGAGCTGTCCTTTGGACTGTAGTTTCTTCATGCTTTCCAGAGTTAGAGCCTTGATCACAGAACATCATGCTGTGCAGAACACTGGACTCAGTACTAAGTTTTCATCTTTGATTTTTCTTTAGCTTAATCAGTCCTTCCTTCCTAATCTGTAATCCCCTGAAGCCTAACACAGTTCCTAATGTGTTTTGCCTTCACCTCTTTTCTCTTCCCACATTGGTACTTCTGGTTGGGGCTCTCTTTACTTACTGCTTAGGCACATAGTCACCTTCTTTGGACTCCCTGCCTCCATGCTTTCTCCTTCAGTCCATTCTGCAAACTCTTGGGATCTTCCAAAATTAGCTTGATTAGCTTTCACTGCCTATAGAAGCAAGAACAAGCTCCTCTGCTTGGTACTTAGTCTGCGTCCATGTTATCCCAAATTACCCTCCTATTGCATTTCCTACTCCTTTGCTACATGTATTGGACCTCTGGCCAAATTACAAAAAAAGTACTCTTTGTTCTCTAAAACCACACTAAAGTTTCCTGACTTCTTTCTCACTCTTTATGATAATCCTCTGCCTGAAAGGCTATTGCCACCTGTCAAAATCTTCATTATTCTTTGCCTCTTTCCTGAGCCCCTTGCTTGAATGTGATTTCTTTCTCCCTGAGACCCTTTAACTGTTTGTTCGTCTTATGGGACCTTAATTTGTCTTGCATTGACATTTTTGATTTTCATTTTCTCACCATTAAATTACCTTGGAGGATAGGGCTGTGATTTACTCATGTCTAGTCCCCAGAAGCCTAACACAGTTCCTGGCACACACAGATATTGTGCTCATTCAATAAATATTTACTCGCTTTGTTCAATGGATTCCACCCCTGCCTTTCTAGGCGACCTTGGACAAATTTCAGAACCCATTCACCAACTACACAAGTTTGTTGTGAGTCATAAATGGATAATGAATATAAACGCGCATTGAAAATAAACATAAAATGTTACCCACATTTCTTGTGTTGTTGTTTTGTGACAACTTTATTTCTTGGTTTCTGTTATTTTACCTGGGGTGGGAGGTGGGGGGTAATTCCCATATGAAATGTGTAGTCTCAGGCTGCGCGCAGTGGCTCACGCCTGTAATCCCAGCGTGAGCTGGGATTTGGGAGGCCGAGGTGGGCGGATCACGAGGTCAGGAGATCAAGACCATCCTGGCTAACAGGGTGAAACCCCGTCTCTACTGAAAATACAGAAAGTTAGCTGGGTGTGGTGGCGGGCGCCTGTAGTTCCAGCTACTCGGGAGGCTGAGGCAGGAGAATGGCGTGAACCCGGGAGGCGGAGCTTGCAGTGAGCCCAGATCGGGCCACTAGCATTCCAGCCTGGGCGACAGAGCGAGACTCAAAAAAAAAAAAAAAAAAAAACCAAAAACAAATGTGTAGTCTCAAGATATCAAGTAGAGGAGAGGACTGTGTTCCTCCGGCCAGCAGGTGGCACCATCCTCGTTTGGTGCGTTCCGCTGGAGAATTGTGGCCCTTCCGCCGCGCCGTAGGTTTGTCGCCTCACCTTTGCGCCCGCGGGAGGGAGTTTACTGCGGCTAGGGAGATGTCGCTGCTACGGTCACTGCGTGTGTTCCTGGTCGCGCGGACCGGGAGCCACTCGGTGAGAAGTCCTGGTCCTGGTACCGGCCTGCTTTCCCTGCAGCTCTTCTGTGCGCCTGTACCTTTCCCTTCCTCCCAACCCCGTTTGACTCCATCCCACCTTCCCGGACAGCATTTCCTCTGCCCAGTCCAGTCCCGGTGCACCCCCGTTTGCACACCGTCCACTCCCTGCCAGTGTACCCTCCACTCTCTGGAGTTTGCTGCTTCCTGCCTCTCATCCCTTTCTTACCCCATCCAGGCTGGGTCTCTTCTGCGTCAGTCGCCCCAGCCACGGCACACACTTCATGCTGGGCCCCGTCTGTCTGCCTCGGCCTCCAGCAAGGAGCTCCTCATGAAACTGCGGCGGAATACAGGCTACTCCTTTGTAAATTGCAAGAAAGCTCTGGAGACTTGTGGCGGGGACCTCAAACAGGTGTGTGTGTGGAGGGGTGCAGGGCAGAGTACTAGAGCTCGACCTCAGACTCTTGGAATGGTCACGCTGGGGAGCGTGAAGTTAGACCTGCTCTCCAGTGACCATAATGGCACAGCCCTAAGTGGAAATCTGGCTTAAATGACAACCTTGGCCTTCACTTTGTCTTATTTGGAAGCAATTGAGTATCCCAGGATTAACAAACCAGACTCTTATGGTGTTTCTTGTTGCCTGGAGCTGAAAGGGTTTGTGTGAGCTTTACAGTTAGATCAATCAGGAGTCACATTGTGGTGCCCCACCAGTCTGACTTTAGGCGTGTATATATATATATATATATGTAGATCGATCAGGAGTCACATTGTGGTGCCCCACCAGTCTGACTTTAGGCGCATATATATATATATATATATATATATATATATATATATATTTTTTATTTTTATTTATTTATTTTTTTGAGACGGAGTCTTGCCTTTGTGGCCCAGGCTGGAGTGCAATGGCGCGATTTCGGGTCACTATAACCTCCGCCTCCTGGGTTCAAGCGATTCTCCTGCCCCAGCCTCCCTAGTAGTTGGGATTACAGGCGTGCGCCACCACACCCGGCAATTTTTTTTTTTTTTTTGTATTTTTAGTAGAGATGGGGTTTCGCCGTGTTGGTCAGGCTGGTCTCGAACTGCTGGCCGCAGGTGATCTGCCCGCCTCGGCCTCCCGGAGTGATGGGATTACAGGAGTGAGCCACCGCGCCCGGCTGACTTTAGACATCTTAATTTTTCAGAGTTGTGTAATTTTTGTCTGTGCAGCCATGCATCTCTTAACCAGGAAGACACATTCTGAGAAATGGGGTCGTTAGGAGATTTTGGCTTACGAACGTCGTAGAGTATTTACACAAATCTAGATAGTGTATTGTACTACAGCCTGGGTTATATGGAATAGCCAGCTGCTCCTAGGCTGCAAACCTTTACAGAATGTTACTGGACTGAATACTGTAGGCAGTCGTAACACAGTGGTAAGTATTGTGTATCTAAACATGGAAAAAGTACAGTAAATAGGCATAAAACATAAAAAAGATACATCTCTATAGGGAACTTATGTATGGAGCTTACAGGACTGGAAGTTGCTCTGGGTGAGTCAGTGAGTGGTTAGTGAATAAGAAGGCCTGCCTTAGGACACTATGGTACACTACAGTGGACATCAAAACAGTACACGTATGCTACATTAAATTTGTAAGAAATTTTTTCTTCGATAATAAGTTAACCTTAGTTTAAGGTAACATTTTTATTTTATAAACTTTTAACATGTTTTAAACTTTTGGACTCTTTTGTAATAACAGTGTAAAACATACTGTACAGCTGTGCCAAAATATTTTTCTTTATGTGCTTATTCTGTGAGCTTTTTTCTATTTTTAAAATTTTGAACTTTTTTTTGACTGGGCGTGGTGGCTCATGCCTGTAATCTCAGCACTTTGAGAGGCCAAGGCGAGCAGATCACCTGAGGTTGGGAGTTCGAGACTAGCCTGATCAACATGGAGAAACCCCGTCTCTACTAAAAAAGTATAAAATTAGCCGGGTGTGGTGGCGAGGGCCTGTAATCCCAGCTACTCGGGAGGCTGAGGCAGGAGAATTACTTGAACCTGGGAAGTGGAGGTTGTGGTGAGCCGAGATCGCGCCATTGCACTCTAGCCTGGGCAACAAGAGTGAAACTCTGTCTCAAAAAAAAAAATTCAAACTTTTTTTTTATTGAAAAATGGTTTATTTTATTTTATTTTTTTTTTGAGACGAGTCTTACTCTCTCCCCCAGGCTGGAGTGCAGTGGCACGATCTGGGCTTACTGCAAGCTCTGCCTCCCAGGTTCACATCATTCTCCTGCCTCAGCCTCCCGAGTAGCTGGGACTACAGATGCCTGCCACCATGCCTGGCTATTATTTTGTATTTTTAGTAGAGACGGGGTTTCACCATGTTAGCCAGGATGGTCTCTATCTCCTGACCTCGTGATCTGCCCACCTCGGCCTCCCAAGGTTCTGGGATTACAGGCATGAACCACCGCGCCTGGCCAAAATTTTTTTTACCTTAAAAAATTGTTTTGTTACGGGCGCCTGTAGTCCCAGCTACTTGGGAAGCTGAGGCAGGAGAATGGCGTGAACCGGGGAGGCGGAGCTTGCAGTGAGCCGAGATCTGGCCACTGCAGTCCAGCCTGGGCGACAGAGTGAGACTCCGTCTCAAAAAAAAAAAAAAAAAAAAAAAAAAAATTGTTTTGTTAAAAACTGAGACACAAACACATACATTAGCCTAGGCCTACACAGGAGTGGGATCATCATTAACACTGTGTTCCACTTCCACATCTTGTCTTGCTGGAAGGTCTTCAGGGGCTGTAACGGGCATGGACCTGTTATCTCCTATGATAACAATGTTTTTTTCTGGAATACCTCTTAAAGGACCTGCCTGAAGCTGTTTTACTGTTAAATTTTTTCAATTTTTATTTTTTTGAGACAGAGTCTCACTTTGTCACCCAGGTTGGAGTGCAGTGGCGTGTTTGATCTTGGTTCACTGCAACGTCCGCCTCCTGGGTTCAAGAGATTCAACCTCCCGAGTAGTTTATCAGTTGGAGTACACTCTAAAAAAACAATAAAGTATATATATTATAGTAAATACATAAACCGGTAACATAGTTGTTCATTGTTTCAGGTATCATGTACTGTGTATAATTGTACGTGCTATATTTTAATAGGACTGGCAGCACAGAAGTTTTCTTTACACTAGCATTGCCACAAACATGTAGGTAATATGTTGCCCTACAATGTTAGGAGGGCTACAGTGTCACTAGACAATAGGAATTTTTCAGCTCCATTATAATCTTAGGGACCATCATCGTATGTGGAGTCCGTCATTGTTCGAAATATTGTTATGTGCTGCATAACTGTATAAAGAAAATACAACTGTGTGCCCCATAGGGTTGTTGTGAAGATTAAATTCATCCAAGGCACCGGTTGTAATAATACCTGGTGCTTGGCATTTAGTGGTAGACTGCCAGTAAATGATAGATTACTTCAGTTTCTGTTAGAGAATTTAGAGAATCAGGAAACCTGAGTGTATCTTAGAATTACATTTAGTTCTAAATTCTGTGACTTTGTTGTCTGCTCTTTTTCTTCTCAATTTATAGGCAGAGATCTGGCTCCACAAGCAGGCCCAGAAAGAGGGCTGGAGCAAAGCTGCCAAGCTCCAAGGGAGAAAGACCAAAGAAGGCCTGATTGGGCTGTTGCAGGAAGGAAACACAACTGTATTAGTAGAGGTGAGTTGTTGGAAATTCCAGATACCAAGAATAGCTGTCCCTTGGGTATAAAGCTTGTAGTAGGCCCTTTATCTTCTTGAGGAAGAGATCTGTTTAAGAACCATAAAGGGTAGTTGAAGTTAAACTCATGAAACCTTGGGTATTAGTTATGAATTCATTTAAGTATAGAAATGTACTGGTGTGTTGATGAGAAATGGCCTAGCAGTCTAGAATATTACTCCTGAATGTGAGTCTGGTGCAGCCTTACCCCTTGTCACTGATTGTTTCCTGGAACAGTTAGATTACAAAGTTAATTATATTAATTGTTGTTGAATAGAGTGTAGCTATTTTAGAGGAGGTTTGGGGGCCATAATTGGTGAAGAATCAGGTGTGGATTAGTTTAGAATGAGAGGTGGGAATAAACAAGATAATAGCATAAGTGGTTTGGAGTTGGGATGGCTGGAGAATGAGGTGATGATGGTGTGCAGACACAGGTAAGTGGTGAACTTGTGGTGAGTCCTTCAGGACATTATTGAACCATCTTCCAAATATACAGGCTATTGCTAACTCACTGGCCCAACGTGAATCACTTCATTCTGTTTCGGGCTAGGAGAGGAACTGTAGCTTTAAAATTTTGGAGTCATTTTTTTTTTCTGTTGAGTCTGTAGCTTGTTCTGTCAGTATCTTGATTTACTCTCCAGCCTTAAGGCACTTTTGGAAATTATTAAACAGCTTATACAGCTATATCAATTTGTTCCCACAGGTAAACTGTGAGACAGATTTTGTTTCTAGAAATTTAAAATTTCAACAGTTGGTCCAGCAAGTTGCCCTTGGAACCATGATGTATTGTCAGAGCCTAAAGGATCAGCTCTCTACATACAGTAAAGTAAGTTTGGGGTTTGTCTTCAGTGTGCTGAATTTGCTCTCCTCATTGGGTCTTTGCTGTTCCTGTTTTAGACACTCTCATGTCTCATTCCCTTACTTCACATCTCTGCTTAAATGCTATCTCTTTGCATAGGATTACCCTTCCCCCATTACTATATCCCCATGTCGTGCTTCATTTAACATTTTTTATTATGGTGTTTATATATTACATTTTAATTTAGCTGTATGTTGTCTGTCTTCCCCAATAGAATGTAAACTTTATGAGGCAGGGAATTTGTCTTTTCACTGCTGTATCTCTGGTGAAAGAGAATTGGGCCCACTACTTAGTTGGAGTTCAATAAATCTTTGTCAGATGAATGAATGAATGAATGCATGCATGCCAGTGAAATGGAGTTAGCCAGATCAAGTGAAGCCATTTTAGGCTTTGTGTTCAGAAATTTGGAATGATCTTAGGAAAGGATTTCTAAATAAAGAGATTGGAGCCGGATGTGGTGGCTCAGGCCTGTAATCCCAGCACTTTAGGAGGCTGAGGCAGGCGGATCACCTGAGGTGGGGAGTTCAAGACCAGCCTGACCAACATGGAGAAACCTGTCTCTACTAAAAACACAAAATTAGCTGAGCGTGGTGGCGCATGCCTGTAATCCCAGCTACTCGGGCAGTTAGAGCAGGAGAATCGCTTGAACCCGGGAGGTGGAGGTTTCAGTGAGCCGTTGTACTTCATCCTGGGCAACAAGAGCAAAACTCCGTCTCAGAAAAAAAAAAAAAGAGAGAGATTGGAAAAGACACAGTTTAGGAAAATAAGCATATTCTTATCCATAGAGGGATCAAGGAAAGGAATTATGTCATTCTGCCTTTGACTCAGCTTTATTGCCAAAGCAAAAATGAACCAACCACTCAAACAGTAATTTTTTTGAATTTATTACTAACTTTTTAATCTTCTTTATCCTTCTCTTGAGATGTCTTGGTAAATGTTAATTATTACTGGCATTACATAGTCATATTATATGGAAAACAATGTTGAGATTATTTTTTTTAATTGTATTGAGTAGATAAGTCACTTGAACCAGAAATTTTAGCTCTGATTTTATCAGTAAACACCAGTGTACTCTTTTTTTTGTTTTGTTTTCGTTTTTGTTTTTTGAGATGAAGTCTTGCTCTGTTGCTCAGGCTGCAGTGCAGTGGCTCAGTCTTGGCTTACTGCAACCTCCACCTCCTGGGTTCAAGCAATTCTCCTGCCTCAGACTCCCGAGTAGCTGGGACTACAGGCATGTGCCACCACACACGCCTAGTATTTGTATATTTTATAGAGACAGAGTTTCATCATGTTGGCCAGGCTGGTCTTGAACTCCTAACTTCAAGTGATCTTCCTGCCTCTGCCTCCCAAAGTGCTGTGATTACGGGCGTGAGCCACCATGCCTGGCCTCAGTGTACTCTATCCAGATTCACCATTTGTTAACATTTTACTGTGTTTGCTTTATCACTTCTTTTTTTCTTTTAAATAGAGACAGATCCGGCTTTCTTGCCCAGCCTGGAGTGCAGTGGCACAATCATTGTTCACTGATGCCTCAAATTCCTGGGCTCAAGTGGTCTTCCCACCTCAGACTCCTGAGTAGCTGGGACTATGTGTGCACATCACCATGCTAGGCTCTTTTTTAAGTTTTTTGTAGAGACAGTCTTGCCATCTTGCCCAGGCTGGTCTCAAACCTCTGGGCTCAAGAAATCCACCTGCTTTGGCCTCCCAAAGTGTTGGGATTACAGGCTTGAGTCACTACAGCTGGCCCTGTCACTTTTTATGTACATGTTATCATCGCTTTTTTTTTTTTTTCTTTGAGATGGAGTCTCTCTGTCACCCAGGCTGGAGTGCAATGGTGCCATCTCACTCACTGAAGCCTCTCCCTCCCGGTTCAAGGGACTCTTCCACTTCAGCCTTCCAAGTAGCTGGGATTACAGGTGCCTGCCACCACACCCGGCTAATTTTTTTGTATTTTTAGTAGAGACGGGGGTTTCACCATGTTGGCCAGGCTGGTCTTGAACTCCTGACCTCAGGTGATCCGCCCACCTGGGCCTCCCAAAGTGCTAGGTTTACAGGCATGAGCCACCGCGCCCAGCCCTTTTTTTTTGTTTATTCTTATCTTTTGGGTTTATGTCATACTTTCCTTTCCTCAAGTGTGGAATGGGCCACTTCTTCAAGGAGTCCTAGTCCTTTTTAGCTGGGGAATGGTTTTTAGAAACCAAGATTTGAGTATTAGGTGTGCTGATTTCTTTGTTTTTTTTTTGAGACAGAGTGTCTTTCTGTAGCCCAGGCTGGTGTGCAGTGGCACGATCTTGGCTCACTGCTACCTCTGCCTCCCGGGTCCCGGTTCAAGCAGTTCTGCCTCAGCCTCCCGAGTAGCTGGGATTACAGGCACATGCCACCATACCCATCTAATTTTTGTATTTTCAGTAGAGATGGGGTTTCACCATGTTGGCCAGGCTGGTCTTGAACTCCTGACCTCGTGATCCACCCACCTCAGCCTCCCAAAGTGCTGGGATTACAGGCATGAGCCACTTCGCCCAGCCAAGTGTGCTGATTTCTACTGAGATGTCATTTGTTCTTTTAGCAGACAGTGCAGGTGTATGTGCTGTGTGTATGTGGTTCCTTTTTCATAGCAACTTCAATATGTTTACTGTTTTTACTTATGTACTCATATGTACTCAGTGTTACAACATATATACAAAATTGTTTCAGAATTGCTACCCCTGACCACTGCAAATAACAAAACTACTAAGGAGTTCAAGATTTATTTGTAGTTCGTTTTGTCTTTACATTGAAGTTAGGTGGTCACGTGACTCTATTATTTGGATTTTTTTTTTTTTCCTTCTGTGAGGTTATGTTACTTGTTTGAAATATAGTTTTATATTTCTTAGTAGTCAACATTTATTTTCACCCCAAATATGTGATTTAATTTTATTTTTTAAATGTGTGGGGTTTTTTTGTTTGTTTGTTTGTTTTGGCTGGGTGCCGTGGCTCATGCCTGTAATCCCAGCACTTTGGGGTTTGTTTGTTTATTTTTAAAATATTTTTTATAGTTATAGCGATGAGGTTTCACCATGTTGGCCAGGTTGGTCTCAAACTCCTGGCTTCAAGTGATCTGCCTGACTTGGCCTCCCCAGAGTGCTGGGATTATGGGCATGAGCCACGGTACTGGGCCAGGTTTTTTTTTTTTTTTTTTTTAAGATGGAGTTTCACGCTCATTAGCCAGCCTGGAGTGCAGTGGTTTGATCTCAGCTTACCACAGCCACCACCTCCTGGGTTCAAGTGATTCTCCTGCCTCAGCCTCCTGAGTAGCTGAGATTACAGGCACCCCCCACCACACCTGGCTAATTTTTGTATTTTTAGTAGAGATGGGGTTTCACCATGTTGGCCAGGCTGGTCTCGAACTCCTAACCTTAGTTGATCCACCCACCTCAGCCTCCCAAAGTGCTGAGATTACAGGTGTGGGCCACCGTGCCTGACTGGCCAGATTTAGTTTTATTTTTGAATATATAAAATACATTAACAAAGTCCTCAAAAGTTGAAACTGTCAAAAAAAAAAAAAAAAGCTATACTCGGAGAGGTGTTACTGCTTCTGTCCCTTCTACCCTGTTCCCATCCATCTGTTTACTTAGATAACCAGTGTCATTGGATTGTGGTTATCCATTTTCAGTATTTCTTTTTGCAAAAATAAGCATATTAATACAAATAGTTCTTTGTTGCACAGATAGTAGTATAATACGCATATACACTTATAATTTGCTTTTTTCACTTAATAATATATCCTGGAAATACTCCATAACAATTCATGAAGGTGATCCTTTTTATTTTTTCCAACTACGTAGTATTCTGTTGTATGGATGTGCTATAGTTTAATCTCCTATGTTTGGGCATTTAGGCTGTTTTTACAATTTTATGATTAGAAATAATTGTTCAATGAATAAACTTGTGCAGTATTATTGTAAGTATATCATCAAGGTGAATTCCTAGAAATAGGATTTCAGGATCAAAGGATAAATACATATGTAGTTTTATTAGATACTACAATTTCACATCATTGGATTTATACCATTTTGCATTCCCATCAACAATGTGCAAGTCTAGCTCTAACATTTTATGATTTTATGAAAATATTGTTCTTGGCCAGGTGCGGTGGCTCACGTCTGTAATCCTAGCACTTTGGAAGGCTGAAGCAGGTGGATCACTTGAGGTCAGGAGTTCAAGACCAGCCTGGCCAACATGGTGAAACCCTGTCTCCACTAAAAAATATATAAAAATTTGCCAGGCATAGTGACGCATGCCTGTAGTCCCATCTACTCGGGAGGCTGAGGCAGGAGGATGGCTTGAATCTGGGAGGCGGAGGTTGCAGTAAGCTGAAATCATGCCACTGCACTCCAGCCTGGGCGGCAGAGCGAGACTCCATCTCAAAAAAAAGAAAATACTGTTCTTGGCTGGGTGTAGTGGCTTACGCCTGTAATCCCAGCACTTTGGGAGGCTAAAGCAGGAGGATCTCTTAAGCTAGGAGTTCGGGACCAGTCTGAGCAACACAGGGAGACCCCATCTCTATATTTAAAATAAAAAGAAAATAATTGTTCTTGATTTCTAGGAAATTACATTCTAAGAAGTTAGACTGGAGGATGAGAGTGGAATGTTACTGGGGTGGTGCAGTGATAGAATAAAATATTTATAAAGATGGAACTGTTACCAATTTTTAACATCCTTGGCTTAATGAAAATATTATCTACACTTAGTTGTCTTAAATAATTTTTATTTTTTTTTTGAGATGGAGTTTCAACTCTGTTTCCCAGGCTGGAGTGCATTGGCACAATCTCAGCTCACTGCAACCTCCGCCTCCCAGGTTCAAGCGATTCTCGTGTCTCAGGCTCCCCAGTAGCTGGGATTATAGGCGTGTGCCACCATGCCCAGCTAAGTTTTGTATTTTAGTAGAGATGGGGTTTCACCATTTTTGCTAGGCTGGTCTCAAACTGCTGAACTCAGGTGATCCACCCTCCTCGGCCTCCCAAAGTGTTGGGATTACAGGTGTGAGCCACCATACCTGGCCAATAATTTTCTTAGACTATTTTTGCCTATTCTTTTGATAATTTGAATAGTACAGAATCAGTTCATGTTTGTTTTCTTTGTGTACTTAGGGCTTCTTAAATTCCTCTGAGCTTTCTGGACTTCCAGCTGGGCCTGACAGAGATGGCTCACTCAAGGATCAGTTGGCTTTAGCAATTGGTGAGTATTTGTAAAGGTTCTGGAAACTGGAAATTAGGGACTGGATCTCTTGTTATCTTGTTCCTCCAAATCTAGGTCAAGAATCATGTGCCTACAAGGGTCAGATGATATGAATGTGAGAAGTGGTTTGTGTGTTAGATGTTAGGGAACATTAGGCATCTTAAAGAGCTCATATGCTGCTGGAGGAAGTGTCATTACCAAGCTCTAACCAATTGTTATATCTAGGGAAATGGAGTCCCGGGGTCATCAGAATTTCTAAATTCCTTAAAAGGATTTACATTTATGTCCAAAATCTCACAGGTTTTGGCTGTTTGCAACTAATTAAAATTATTTTCATTACTGTGCCAACAAAACAAAGCATGTCTTCAGGCAGAGATGGCCTTTTGACTTCCAGCTAAGTACTTTAGCATACACTATAGGGAAAATAGTACATTAAAGATTATTTCCTCTTCTTTATAAAAGGTTGCAGGACAATTGAGGAGCATTGTTTTTAGGAATTTGATCTTTCTTTTCAAAAAATCTGGTTGTGAATTTGTAAAGATACGTTCTTTTAGAGCCTGTTGGCTATAGGAACCACATCTGGATCATTGTGGTGGGACTAGCGGGGATCTTGCTTTCTTCCTAAGTGCTTGATGTAGGGAGGGTGGTAGGGAAGGGTTGGAGCTTGCTGGGAATTTACTGCTCATCTGAAGTTTCCAGTCAAAGCATCAATTCCGTTTTTATCAGGTCATCTTGTATTATCTGTGATGTTTCAATGAGTCATGGGTTAGAAACCAGGCAGACAGCTGTGTATGGGGCTTATTAAGAAATTCTGGAAGAGCTGGGTGTTTCAACCTTGTCGGTTTCTGGGAATTAACTATTGGGTATATGCTTTGAGCTATTTTAAAATTCGTTTTGGTTTCTGTATTCTCCTTTTCCGTGACTTTTAGATATTACTGTGGCTCATCCAGGCATACTTTCTGTTTATGGTTCTCATAAATAACTCTGACAATATTATTTTTTCTATTTTTGATGAGGACTTTCTCCTGATACAAGGGATGATCAGGACTTGTCTGTGTCAGTTATAGAGCATTCAGGATGGTGGGAAAAAGTACTTAATTGCTTTGGAGTCAGATCTGAGTTTTAATTTTAACTCTGCCTTGTGTTACTGGGTGGGTTACCTAAGTTCTCTAAGCCTAAGCTTATTGTAATAATAGCTAGCTTTTGAGTGCTCACTCTGTGCCAGATACTATAGTTAATGCTCTCTCTCTCTCTTTCTATATATATATATTTTTTTTTGAGATGGAGTTTCGCTCTTGTTGCCCAGGCTGGTGTGCAATGTCATGATCTCGCTCAATGCAACCTCTGCTGCCAGGGTTCAAGAGATTCCCCTGCCTCAGCCTCCCAAGTAGCTGGGATTACAGGCATGTGCCACCATGCCTGGCTAATTTTTGTATTTTTAGTAGAGATGGGGTTTCTCCATGTTGGTCAGGCTGGTCTCGAACTCGCGACCTCAGGTGATCTGCCCGCCTCGGCCTCCCAAAGTGCCGGGATTACAGGTGTGGGCCACTGTGCCCAGCTGCTTTTACATATATAATTTATTTCTCCCCAAAACCCTGAAAGGTAGGTGGTCTCATCTCTATTTTAAAGGTGAGGAAACAAAGGCTTGATAAATTTAGTAAATGAGATTATGTCATTGAGTCACTTGCCCAAGGTCATATAGTCAGTAAAGAGGCAGAAGTGAGACCTGAGTCACACATACTTGTGTCACCACAACCTGTGTTTGTTTGTTTTTTGGAGAGAGAGTCTTGTTCTGTTGCCCAGGCTGGAGTGCAGTGGTACGATCTCAGCTCACTGCAACCTCTGCCTCATGGGTTCAAGTGATTCTCCTGCCTCAGCCTCCTGATTAGCTAGGATTACAGGTGCACACCACCATGGCCAGCTGAGTTTTGTATTTTTAGTAGAGACGGGGTTTCATCCACGTTGGCCAGGCTGGTTTTGAACTCCTGACCTTTGGTGATCCACCCACCTCAGCCTCCCAAAGTGCTGGGATTACAGACATGAGCCACCACACCCAGCCTCACAACCTGTTTTTAAGTACCAGAGTGCCTGGTACATAGTTGATGCTTCATAAAGGTATTCTTCACTTCCCCCACTCCCACTGCCCCGCCCCATGCCCCTTTTCCTCTTTATACAAAAACTGAAAATGATGTCTCTTCATCTTACTGCATATCCTGTGTAAATGCAAAGGGACTGTCTTCCAAACTGGGCCTCTTCTGTTCTTATTTTGGTACCATCACAGACATCACAATTTGTTGGTGTGTTTGGTTTTTTGTTTTTGCTTTTTTTAATAGGAAAACTGGGAGAAAACATGACTCTTAAACGAGCTGCATGGGTGAAGGTGCCATCTGGGTTCTACGTTGGCTCTTATGTCCACGGAGCAATGCAGAGTCCCTCACTTCACAACCTGGTGCTGGGGAAGTATGGGGCCCTGGTCATCTGTGAGACGTCTGAACAGAAAACAAACCTTGAAGACATTGGCCGCCGCCTTGGGCAGCATGTGGTGGGCATGGCCCCCCTCTCTGTTGGCTCCCTGGATGATGAGCCTGGGGGGGAGGCAGAGACTAAGATGTTGTCCCAGCCATACTTGCTGGATCCCTCCATTACCTTGGGGCAGTATGTGCAGCCTCAGGGGGTGTCGGTAGTAGACTTTGTGCGGTTTGAATGTGGAGAAGGTGAAGAGGCAGCAGAAACTGAATAGGTTCTAGAGACTTTCGGCCCAGGAGGAATATTTATTTTTAGCTCTGGACATCATTACAAAAAGGAGTATTTCCCAAGCCTCTTCAGACTGAGAATGTATTTTTCATTTGAGTTATAACGAGATTATAGACTTCATGGGTAAAATTATTAAATAGTTATATAATAAAAATAATTTTTTCCTTGTTTGCATAATACTGGGTTTAGCTTTTCTGTGCCTCTCAAAAATAACGGGCGGGCCTTATTGACGTGATTGACAGTGTCTTGGAGAACAGGCATCAACAATACTGCTGCTCCCTTCAACATAGATTTATTATGGTGTTTCTGAAATTTCTAACTTACATGTTCTGTCTTCCACCTTTTATGACATAGAATTCTTTTCTGTTTTTGCTTTGCGATACTGTGGACCATGCTTCTGCCTCGGAACCTCCCTAGTTATATTACTTCTGCCACATGGAATTCTTTGGGATTACTGATTCAGACCTAGAGTTGTCTGGAAACTATGGGTTCTCTTCTTTGTGATTGTCTGTAGCATGCTTTGAAGGTGCTCTGCAGTGGTAGGCACACTGGTTCTGGCTTCATTTAATTAAATTAATAACACATGCCTCTGTTTCTCTTTTGGATAATGTGTGGGTGGGTGAATACTGAGGTTTCCTGGCCAGCTGTAAGGCAGATTTTGACATTCTTGTGCCAGAAACAGAAATTAGAGTAGTCCGGTTATCCAGAGAGGTCACTTAACATTGCCTCTTTACTTCCCCAGTACTGAAACATTTCTTCCAATATAACATGAAATTACCATAACAAGCAAACCCAGAATACTGAAAATAACCGCATTTGTTCATTAGAGGTATCTTTATTTGAAAAGTTAAAAATGCTTTGAAATGATTTACAGGTTAAATAGATTTTAGAAATAATGATCTTAAAATTGGAAACAAAGGTAGGTCCTGGTATAATGCTAAACAAAGTTATTAAACATTTTGAGCATTGTTTTTTGGTTCTCTTTCTTTTGATTTCTCCAGATTTATGCAGTTTTAGTGCTTTCTGCTGAGGCTTTAGCTAGAGGGCCACAAAATCCAAAAACCATGTGGTTAACATTTTAGGTATATAACAAGGAAGGAATGCAAGGATGAGAAAAAATGGAGAACAGTGATTTTCAGACTCTATTATATCTAAATTAAGTAGCTGAATGTCAGGCAGAAATTGGTGGATAAATTATTTCCTGATATTGGCACTATCTGCTCTCTTCTGTGGCCTTGCAGTAGATATAGGCCTTCTTGCTTTAGAAAAGCCCCTTTTCTTTCTTCATTTGCAGCTGTTTCCAGCCAGGCAGAGCTGCAAATTGCCCTCTTGTGATGCCAAACACAGACACAAAGTCCTGTTCAGAGAGGTAATTCTAAGAGAGGAAACAAAGTTTCTAGTTAGAAGGAAGACATGACATCAGTGCCAACAGAAGTTGGGAAAGTCAGAGCGAGAGGGAGTTCTAGGTGGATCCTTGAAGAGGGAAGTAGGATGACTTTCTCAGAAAGGCTGTTAGAGATTTAAATTATTCATTGGAGAGGTGTTCTTCAGTTCAGGGAGTCCCATTTTGGCCTGTGACAGAAGCTTACTGGATTCACTGCTCTCACAGTGCCAGCAAGCACCAGTTTCTTGCCAGAAGGCAATAAATGGGTTATGTATTAAGGATGAATTATAGACATCAAATTTTGGCAGAATGAAGAACTAAATTGAGCCATGGTTTTCCTTGTTTTCCGTCTGTAACTACCATTTTTACCCAGAAATTTTCAAATGCATGATCTTATTGAGCATAAAATTATTCTAAACATTTACTTAATGATTTATTGAATATTTATATACAAGTAAAGATTATTAATTAAGTAAAGATTATTAATATATGGGCTCTGCTTTCAAGAAAATTGTAGTCCAGATACTTGAGTTGGTTAGATAAGACGTTGTGGGAAATCCAGAGTCCATTCCCAAATCAACTTCTTCAAGGGGAAAATAAATTTATTCTTTTTTTTTTTTGAGACAGAGTCTTGCTTTGTCACCCAGGCTGGAGTGCAATGGAACGATCTCGGCTCACTGCAACCTCTGCCTCCCGGGTTCAAGCAGTTCTCCTGCCTCAGCCTCCAAGTAGCTGGGACTACAGGCACCCGCCACCTGCTAATTTTTGTATTGTTAGTAGAGACAGGGTTTCACCATATTGGCCAGGCTGGTCTTGTACTCCTGACCTTGTGATCCGCCCGCCTCAGCCTCCCAAAGTGCTGGGATTACAGGTGTGAGCCACCGCGCCCGGCCAAGAAATTTATTCTTTTAACTCAAATATGTTAATTCATTCAAGCGAAACTTAAGAATGCTTGCTATCTGCTAGGCACTGTTGTAGGTGCTGAGAAGCTGAGAATATGATGGTGAACAAGACAGACAAAGGTCCTTCCTTTTAAGGATATTACTAGAGGGGGAAATAGGCAATGAACAAGTATAAAGGGACTGGAGCAGGTATGGGAAGCAGTATTAGGGTGGTCAGGAAATGCCTCCTCGGGGAGGTGACACTGGGGCTGAGACCTACACCATGAGAAGGTGCTGGCACTGTGGTGATTTGGGAGAGGGATGTTTTCTCAGGCACGAGCACTAGCAAGTGTAAAGGCTGAAAGGCTGGAATAAGCATGTTTAAGGAACAGCAAAGCAGCGGCTGTACTGGCTGTAGGGTGGTGAATGATGAGGGTATTGGTATATGAAATGAAATCAGAGAGCTAGGCAGGGGCCAGATTGTATCGGCCTTCACATTCTTTTTTAAAATGTAGTGGGAAGCTATTCGAGGTGTTTTAAACAGGGCAGTGCCATATGTTTTAAAGATCCCTTTGGCTATTGCGTGGGGAACGGATTGTAGGAACAGGTGGAAACCAGTTGGATTGTAGTATGTAGTCCAAGATGGCTGCACTAGACTAGTAGCAGAGAGATGGAGAGCAGTGGACAGAAGCTAGCTGATAGATTGATGTAGGTGAAGAGAAAAGAATCAAGAAAGAACCCTCTTTCTTTTGGTTTGAGCTCCTGAGTAGCTCAGATGTCCATTGAGCAGCTACAGCATGCCGTGCCAGAACTGTCCTAGGCCATTTACTCATGGAGAGCTCCACTTCCAACAGACAGTTTCTTCAGTCACTCACCTCCTTTTTGGCAGGGTTTACATCCTCAGGTAGCTCCTGATTCTGGTTTTTCAACAGAACTGCTATAGGGTAATATTTTGACTCACTGTCAATAGAATTCACGGAGAGGGTTGCATTCTTCATGTCCTAGGTAAGATAAGATAATGTAGGCACAGGGAAAAGACTCCTCAGTGTCTGTATGGTTACAGTTCTAAATGTGTGTAATATTTAACATTTTGACTTGTGCCACTTCACCCTCTATAATCATCTTTCAGAGCAATGGTCCCCAAACCTGGCTGCATGTCAGAATCATCTGGGAATAGAAAATATTCAGATTTTGGGGTTGTTTTTGGGAAAAGTGATTCAGTAAGTTCAAGGCAAGTCCTGTATAGCCAGTTTGGCATACATGTTGTGCCGGAATCTCATTTGAATATTGGGATCACATACCTTCTCTTGGTACTTTTATTTAGCCCTGCATTTCCAGCCTTTAAATGACTTCAGGTTGTAGTTCTACTTAAATATAATTTAAAGATACTATATCAACATTAGCTTTAGAATCTGAGTTTGTGGAGCACAAAGGACAGAATTGCAGGTTTGAACTCCTGGTGCCATGCACTCCTCCTGAGGTTAAAGAACTGCTGGATTCCTGGCCAGAGGCTCTACTTCTTTTTTTTTTTTTTTTTTTTTGAGACGGAGTCTCGCTCTGTCGCCCAGGCTGGAGTGCAGTGGCGCAATCTCGGCTCACTGCAAGCTCCGCCTCCCGGGTTCACGCCATTCTCCTGCCTCAGCCTCCCGAGTAGCTGGGACTACAGGCGCCCGCCCCTGCGCCCGGCTAATTTTTTCTATTTTTAGTAGAGACGGAGTTTCACCATGGTCTCGATTTCCTGACCTTGTGATCCGCCCACCTCGGCCTCCCAAAGTGCTGGGATTACAGGCGTGAGCCACCACGCCCGGCCAGCTCTACTTTTAACCATTAAAATAGGGGTAAATGGTCTAAGTTTCTGTGGACTTCACTGTCAGAAACGAATAAAAATGTCATTTGGGTTAGAAGCTTATTTCTGAAAAATACTGCCAATGACTTTAATCTCTCCTAAATGGCAGAGTTGAATAATAAAACAAGTTTTCATTTTTTTGTTGTTGTTTTTTTGAGATGGAGTCTCCCTCTGTTGTCCAGGCTGGAGTGCAGTGGTGCCATCTCAGCTGACAGCAACCTCTGCCTCCTAGGTTCAAGCAATTCACCTGTCTCAGCCTCCTGAGTAGCTGGGACTACAGGCGCCCATCACCATGCCCAGCTGATTTTCATATTTTTAGTAGAGATGGGGTTTCACCATATTAGTCAGGCTGGTCTCAAACTCTTGACCTTAGGTGATCCACCCGCCTTGGCCTCCCAAAGGGCTGGGATTACAGGCATGAACCACTGCACCCAGCCCCATTTTTGTTTTTAAGCAGCAAGTCTGTTTGAAAATCTGGAAGTCAGGAAAATAAGGAACTTGGCTCTCAGACCTGCTTTTCTATTGATTACAAAAAATTTTTACATCAAAACAGACAACTATAGTAATACTCCTTAGTAATACTAAGGAGGACATGAGTTTTGCCCATGAGCATCGGTAGCGTTTGTGGGTTCTCTTTGGCTCTGGTTGCCTGTGTGGCTGGCTTCTCCCAAGAGCGAACCTGACTCACAGCAGTGATTTGCATGATAGCAGCAGCATCTCCCAGCTCTTCTTTTAATTGTTCGTATGATTTTCCTGCCTGAGAAGGAGAGAAAACACAAGATGAGGTCTTTCTTATAGGGGAGGGACATCTTAGGTCTGGTCTGTGTCTTCAGGAAAAGCAAAAGAGCCAGGGAGTCAGAAGACATTTCAAGTATAAGTAAAAATGAAAATCCCCCCTTTTGGGTCCATGAAGGCTTGAAAGGTGCTTAAACATAATGCACATTCTTTGATGGTAACCCCTCAGTCCTCCCTATAAGATTTAAGAAAGAGCAGTTGAAGGCCAGGCGCAGTGGTTCATGCCTGTAATCCCAGCCCTTTGGGAGGCCGAGGCAGGTGGATCACCTGAGGTCAGGGGTTCAAGACCAGCCTGACTAACACAGTGAAACCCCATCTCTACTAAAAATACAAAAGTTAGCTGGGCGTGGTGATGCATGCCTATAATCCCAGCTACTTGGGAGGTTGAGGCAGGAGAATCGCTTGAACCCAGGAGGTGGAGGTTGCAGCGAGTCGAGATTATGCCATTACACTCCAGCCTGGGCGACAAGAGCAAAATTCTGTCTTGGAAAAAAAAAAAGAAGTTGATTAGGAGTCAGGAAACCTGGCTTTCTGTTGATTAACTGTGACTTTGGACAAATAGCTCATTCTCTTAGCTTCCTTATCAATAAAATAGGGAACAGTACTTCTACTGGCTATCAGGATCATTGTACAGATCAAAAAGATGATGTGTATGGATACACTTTATAAACTGTTTATACTTCACACGGCTTATTGCTGAGACATGCTGTGAATTGTCTACCTGGACTTCCTGCTGTGGCAGGTGAAAAAGAGGAGAAAAGAAAAAGGCAGGGAGCAGGACAGGAGTAGGGAAATGAAGTCCTGGTTTCACTGAGCCGTGAAGCAGTACCCCACCTTCCTGCCCACTGAGCTGTTCTGAGCTCAATGAGCTGTTCCTGGCAGGAAGTAAGAGCTTCCCCACTCTCTTTTCTTACACTCCAAATGTTAGGGTCCCAGGCTAGGAACCAGCCTGTGAAGATGGGAGGCTCAGACCCCTGCTTAATGATCAGGATTGGTGTGTCGGGATCTCGGCCACTGGGGTGAGTGAGCAGGTACTGCTGCGCTGTGGCAAGGGCACTCTTCTTCTCCGTGGCATTGGCCTCAGCCCCAATCCACAAGAACACCTGTTATGGTGGAGATTTAATATATGTTACTGTGTTCATACTAAGTACTAGATCATACACACTACCCTATCTTTCCCCTTTCTTTCGTGAGCAATTCACAGCCTCAGAAAACTTTCTCAGCCTAATTTGTTCAGCAGAGAAAGGATTTCCCAGAATCAGCTTGATGTTTATCACTTTAATTGCTATGTGTATCTTCCAGATCTGCCTTTCCAAATCGGAGCTGTCTCTGAACTTCAGCTTCCTGAATCCAACTTCTTGCAGAACACCTCCTCTTGACTGCTCTAAGCACCTTAAAAATAACACCCTCAAGATGTAGCTCTTCTTTACTAAACTTGTATCTGAGTCTCCACTTCTGATAGGTGGTATCCATCTAGTCACCTAAGGCAGAAACCTGGGAGTTTCCTAGAAACCCCCCATATCCAATGAGTCACCAGGCTGACCAACTTTACCTCCTAAGCATCTGTCAAATCTGTCACCATCCCTCCATCCCTACTCCACTGCCCTTATGTGGACCCACGGTAGCTCTTACTTGACTATGACAATAGGCTACTGACTGCTGTTGTTCCCCTAAACGCCCATATCCTCTGCATGTGGAGTCCGTTGCTATTGATCCTAAGATTAAAAAGTGCATGATGATAGGATGACTTGATTTTTCCAAAGCAAGGTGGGAAAATGCCCAGGATGGTGAGTTTCAAACATCATTCTCAAACATCACCCCTTGCAAAAAAACGGAGGCTTTCTTTTGGTCACTGCTGACAGAGGTTTGATTGAGCTGGGGATGGTCCAGGGCTACCCTGGGTTTATCTAGGGTGGGGATACTACACAAAAACAACCCTTACTATGGGAGTCTTTGTCATGTTCTGAGTTCTGCAGCTGTGTCTTACCTGGTCCCAGGTATCTAGGAGCATCACGTCACCGGGGTTCAGGTCATCCTGGGTGAAGTCTGTGATCTCAGTGACAATGAATTGGCCAGTCTTATTGGAACATTCAAAGAGACGGGACTGGACATCTAGAATTTCCTGCTGAAGTCTGCAATACAGTCCATTTAAGGGCACCAAGCTGCTTAGAAATGTTTTTAAAACTGAGGATTTAGCCTTTGTGCAATTCATAAGCCTGGCAGGCAGGGGGAGCCCAGAAGAGGAGGAGGCTGTGTTCCCATACCTTTTATCACTGGCATAGGGAGTTTTCCCTCCCAGTAGGTCCCAGAACTCGGCGGACTCCTGGCCCTCGGCCACAGTGTTCTCGCTGCCATCACAGAGAAGGCTGGCCAGCTCCTTAGCCATTGCCCGCTCATCCCCACTAGACCCCTGAGAGTGGGGCGAGGAGAGCACAAGTGTTAGTTGCACAGGGGCACTTTGAGGTGGAAAGAAAAGCATCTGAGACTAATAACTCAGTGTGCCAGGATCAGCTGCCAAGCCACAGTCCCTCAGCCTGGAAAGACAGACAAGTTTGTTCTAGTGCTGGGGAGTGGGGAGGAAAACAGTGTGGGGCAAAAAGCAGGACTAGGCTTTGAAACCCACAGTGGTTATGGGCAAAAGTCACCTTCGTTTCAGCTTCAGTTGGAATTTAAGTACCTACTTTTGGGGTTTTTTTTTTTAGAGAAAAAAATTAATTTTTAAAAGTACATACAGTAAAATATACTCTTTTTACATACAATTCTAAGAATTTTGACAAACAGAATCACGTTATTGTCAGTACAATAAAGGCACAGAACAGTTTCTTCCTCAGTCTCTCCCAAAATTATCTGGGGCCGTGACCCCTTTGGAGTCAAAGCCTCTGTGAATCCTTAACCTCTGGTAACCACGAATCTATTCTCCATCACTATAGTTTTGCCTTTTCCAGAATGCTATAAGTGGAGTCATACAATATTTAGCATTTGAGTCTGGCTTCTTTCTCTTAGCAGAATGCATTTGAGATCTCTGTTGTGTTTACCAGTGGCTCATCCCTTTTTATTGCTGAGTAGTATTCCATCATGTGGATGTACTACTGTTTGTTTATCCATTTTCCAGTTGGGTTTTTTCTGCTAATGAATAAAGGTGCTATAAACATTTGTGCACAGGTTTTTGTGTGAAGATAGTTTTTTATTTTACTTGAGTAAATACCCAGGAATAGGATTGCTGGATCATATGGTAAGTGTATGTTTAACTTTGTAAGAAACTGTCAGCTGGGCGTGGTGACTCCCCACTGTAATCCCAGCACTTTGGGAGGCTGAGGCAGGTGAATCACCTGAGGTCAGGAGTTCGAGACCAGCCTGGGCAACATGGCGAAACCTTGTCTCTACTGAAAATACAACAATTAGCTTAGTGTGTGGCACACGCCTGTAATTCCAGCTACTTGGGAGGCTGAGGTAGGAGAATCACTTGAACCCAAGAGGCAGAGGTTGCAGTGAGCTGAGATCGCATCACTGCACTCCAGCCTGGCTGACAGAACGAGACTCTTTAAAAAAAAAAAAATTGAAACTGGCGAAATGTTTTCCAAAAGCTGTACCATTTTGCAGTCCTGCCAGCAATGCATGAAAATTCCTGTTGCTCTGCATCCTTGCTCACATTTTATGTTGTTTTTTTTTAGCCATTCTAATAGATGTGTAGTGGTTATCTCATTGTGATTTTGATTTGCATCTCCCTAGCGACTAATGATGTTAAGCATCTTTTCCTATTCAATTCTTTTTTGTAAAACAATTTTAGTGCGTTTTATTTTATTTTGAGAGGGAGTCTTGCTCTGTTGGCCAGGCTGGAGTACAGTGGTGCGATCTTGGCTCACTGCAACCTCCACCTGCTGGGTTCGAGCAATTCTCCTGCCTCAGCCTCCGGAGTAGCTGGGACTACAGGCACACACCACCACGCCCAACTAATGTTTTGTATTTTTAATAAAGGCGGGGTTTCACCATGCAGGCCAGGCTGGTCTCAAACTCCTGACCTCAGGTGATCTGCCTGCCTCAGCCTCCCAAAGTGCTGGGATTACAGGTGTGAGCCACCGTGCCCGTACTTAGTGCATTTTAATCCACTGTTGCAATATGAATTGACGTAATATTTTGTGTTTTTGTTCTGTATTAGTGCCTGTCTGTTAGAGTCCAGCAAACTCATATGGGAAGATTGACTTATCCAGCCTCCATCTGCGAAGAAGTTTATGAGATTTCTGCTAGGTGTAAGCAGGGTTTTCAGTGAGTTTCTTTTTTTTTTTTTTTTTTTTTTTTTTTGAGATGGAGTCTCGCTCTGCCGCCCAGGCTGGAGTGCAGTGGCCGCATCTCAGCTCACTGCAAGCTCCGCCTCCTGGGTTTAGGCCATTCTCCTGCCTCAGCCTCCCAAGTAGCTGGGACTATAGGCGTCCGCCACGTCACCCGGCTATTTTTTTTTTTTTTTGTATTTTTAGTAGAGACGGGGTTTCACCGTGTTAGCCAGGATGGTCTCGATCTCCTGACCTTGTGATCCGCCCGTCTCGGCCTCCCAAAGTGCTGGAATTACAGGCTTGAACCACCGCGCCCGGCCGAGTTTCTTTTCTTTTTCTTTTTCTTTTTTTTTTTTTTTGAGATGGAGTTTCACTCTTGTTGCCCAGGCTGGAGTGCAGTGGCGCAGTGTCGGCTCACCGCAGCCTGGGTTCAAGCAATTCTCCTGCCTCAGCCTCCCGAGTAGCTGGGATCACAGGCATGTGCCACCACCCTGGCTAATTTTGTATTTTTAGTAGAGACAGGTTTTTCCATGTTGGTCAGGCTAGTCTTGAACTCCCGACCTCAGGTGATCAGCCCACCTTGGCCTCCCAAAGTGCTGGGTTTATAGGCATGAGCCACCGTGCCCAGCCTTCAGTGAGTTTCTAATTGGAGTCTGATTGTGGAGAATGTTGGTGATCCCTTTGAAGATTTCTTAGGAAAAAGGCTTCCTTTTTGAGGACTGCTCCAGCCTACTTTTTTTTTTTAAGTGGAGTCTCACTCTGTTGCCCAGGCTGGAGTGTAGTGGTATAATCTTGGCTCACTGCAACCTCCGCCCCCAACCAGTTCACAATTCTTCTGCCTCAGCCTCCCAGGCAGCTGGGACTATAGGTGCGCGCCACCACACCCGGCTAATTTTTGTATTTTTAGTAGAGATGGGGTTTCACCAGGCTGGCCAGGCTGGTCTCGAACTCCTGACCTCATGGTCCGCCTGCCTCAGCCTCCCAAAGTGCTGGGATTACAGGAATGAGCCACTGCACCTGGCTTTTTCTTTTTTTTTTCCCCAATATGGAATGCTTCACGAATTTGCATGCCATCCTTGCACAGTGACCATGCTAATCTTCTCTGTATCATTCCAATTTCAGTTATGTGCTGCCGAAGCTAGCACTCCAACCTACTCTAGGTCCTTTGACCTTGCTGACAGGAGGAGGGGACTGCAGGTCTGGGCTCCCAGGGGCTGGTCTGACCCCTGGGCCCAGTCATCCTACCTTGCCATACCACAGGTAGTGCTCTGCCTGAGTTCGCAGCAGAAAGACATCATTGGAGTTTAGGGAGGAGGCAAAGGCTGGAACCTCCACTGCTTTGGTGTTAGATTTGTCATTTCCATGAATTTGGAAGAGTCTTACCGGAGGGTCGGGCTCAGCATTTCCCTTCCTGGAAGTCCCACCCTAGAGAGAAGAAAAGCAGAGTCCAGATCTGAGGAGCACCATGTGAGCAGAGCACTAGAGGAGCTGTTGTGGGAAACGTGAATGTTGTAATACTATGTTTGCCCTTGAGGAGCTTCTAGGCTCACTGGAAAGGGTCAGGGTGAGCTGGAGTTATGGTACCAATAACAACAGCTTTCATTCTGAGAACTTTATCATATGCCAGGCTCTGTGACTGGTGCCTTACCTACATCATTTCATTGATCCTTATAACTCTATGAAGTAGATGTTATTATTCCACAGTATAGATGAGGAAACTGAGACTTGGAAACTTGACTAGTAAATACAAGGTTAAGACTTGACCCCAAACTTGTGTGATATCAAGCATGTGACATTATGCATTGCTTGGTAGTGCTTCAGCCAGGGCTTCATGGAAGAAGTGGGACTTGAATTTGAAAGGGCACATCTGCAGCAGGAGGGGTGTGGTGTGGCACACGTGAGGTCTAATGAGGAGACCCACCTGACTGGAGTGGAGGGTGCGGGTTAGGGAGCTGAGGGTGGTGCACCTGCATAGGTAATATGGGTCAGGTTATGAAAGACCTTGAACATAATTTAGATAGTGGTTCAGACTTGAAGCCCTAGGCATTTGGGATTCACTTGACTGTCTTAGAGGGATTAACCCCCTTCTTCCTCTGTCTAATCCAAGCTTGACTCCCTACCCGACACCTCCTCTGCTCGCCAATAGTCCCATGCTGGTTTGTTAGTTTGGAACGTTCCAGCTCATGGTGTAATTTTATCAGAGCATTCTCACCTCAAAGATAACTAGCTTCCCTTTGAAGATGGCCATGAAGTGGCGTGGCTCCGTCCCCATCCTGACTCGAACCTGCACAGCGGCCCCGTCAAACTGCCGATCCACCTCCACTGCCTGGTATGCTGAGGCTGCCAGCTCGTCCTGTGAGGCGTGGCGGCCCTGCAGTGGTGAGAGACCATGAAGGACCCATGCTCCCCGCCCCAGCCCAGTGGCCAGAGGACGCATCAGGATCCAAAGCTGAAGCCTGTGCCAGGCCTACCTGCCAGATGTATAAGATGTGATGTGGCTTCCCGTTCACCTCGTATGTGTAGAGGACCAGATAACAGTCTCCCCCATAAAAGAAGCCATACCACTGATATTCCACAGGGACCAGCTCCAGGTTCTCAATTCTCCAGACCTGGGCATGGAAGGAGACACTGTTTTCCAGAGATAGGGGGCTGGGAAGGGCTAGGCTATGCTAAAGGGAGAATCCAAGTGGGGAAGGTGCTGACATTTACTCCATGTTCTCTTTCTCCCTCTGGTTCTGTCCCAGTGCTGAGGACTCATCACATTTGCATGATTTGAATCCTGAGATGAACTGGGCCATCCTAGTCAGGAGCATCCCATCATGGCTCGGTCTTTGTAAGGCCGAGCGATGATTTGAATAGATCTTCCAGGTGAGATATTGATAGCACATTTGAGGATGTGTGTCTCTTTCCCCTGAAAACTCTACAGACCCACAAGACTCTTAGAGAAGACTCCTGAGGTGCTGGAGAGGAAAGGGAAAGCAAAGCAGACTCTGAATCACCTGCACCCTTGCCCCTAGCAGGACAGCCAGGAAGGCCAATGCTGCCTGCCCTGATATTTGAATCATTGGGCTTACCTCAACTTTTCCGCTGCCATCATCAACCATTCTTTCCTGGGCAGCTACCTCTGGCTTGGTGTGTAGCAGCGTCACATCAAATTTATCCTGGAAAACTTTAGCTGTGGAGAAAGGGTTGGGAAAAGCCGAGTGAGTAAGAAGCATATGTGCCTGCCTTTCTAGGGTCCCAGCAGTGAGAGGATGATCTGAGGGCAATCTCACCAATTTTACCAATGCTGAACGTTTTCCCCAGGCCCATGGTCTGGTCCTTTACTGACCACTTCTGGAACAGCTGCTTGAACATGGCCGACTCAGCACCATCGTTGACAGTCTCCACATTGGTGCTGCTGGGGTAGCCCTTCATCTTGATGAAGCCCTGCAGAGCCACCCATTCCCAAAGGCATGTCAGTTGTGGATTACACTGAGTTTTTTGCTTGTCTGGTAATTCACCTCTTTGAAGCCACATGATAAGAGTCTCCCCTCTGGGAGTCAGTCAAATTCTAACTCACTTCTATCTAAGGACCAAGGTACCTGCCTAAAAAAAAAGAGTGGAACATTTTTGGATCTCTTTATTGACTTGCAGTGATTATGATTGTTAATTTTTTGGAAGATTATGCTGTGTTCTTTCAGTACTTTTGTACTTACTGACTTTTCATCACATCCGTTTGCTCATTTATTGCATTGTAAGTGCATCTTGCTTGGTTCATCTGCATGAATCTGCACAAATATAAGCTCCTTGAGGACAGGGCTATTAACCTTGGTATGTGATATCTCCTTCAATAATAACAGCCACCTTTTATTCAGCAGATGCTGTGTGCCAAGAACTGTTCTGAGTGCTTTTTTTTGTTTTTGAGACAGAGTCTCACTTTCACCTAGGTTGGAATGCAGTGGCATGATCTCAGCTCACTGCAACCTCTGCCTCCCGGGTTCAAGTGATTCTCCTGTCTCAGCCCCGCCAGGTAGCCCGGACTACTGGCATGCGCCACCATGCCTGGATAATTTTGTTTTGTACCTTTAGTAGAGACGGGGTTTCACCATGTTGGCCAGACTGGTCTCGAACTCCTTACCTCAGGGGATCCGCCTGCCTCGGCCTCCCAAAGTGCTGGGATTACAGGCGTGAGCCATCGCGCCCAGCCTTGAGTGCTTTACAAATGATATTTAATCCTCACAATAACCCTAGGAGATGGGTATGATTCCATGTGAGATATGGGGAAACTGAGGCCCAGAGGTGTTAAGTAGTCTTCCCCAGAGCACTCAGCTGGAAAAGGCAAAACCTGGATTTGAATCCCAGTTTGTCTGCCTGACTTTGCAGTCCATGTATGTAAGCACAATGTTATATGCTCACATACCTAGCATGACTCTGTGAAGTGACACACCTGAAGTGCTCTTAGCGGAATTATTTGAACAGTATTGCACATCTGTAGCTCCTACCAGCGCTTTAGACATGGCTGCCTGTTTTTCAGCCTTTGTGGCTCCTTTTCCTTTCCACACGTAGATTTTGGTTCCACTTTGGTCCAGGATGTAGCAGTCCTAAAGCAGCCAGAGATAGGTATGGTTGCTCAAGACCAGAAGGAAGATTTTGCTCAGAGTCTGCTTCTGAAGCAGGTCTGGCTACCCCAAGCTAAGGCCACCCAAACTCTACTTACATCATGGTTCAGTAAGTCCTGGACCAGAGGCCTCGTTGCTACCTCTGTGACTGCCAGCTGCCCAGGTGAATCTGAGACACTGGAGAAGGGGAGAGATTAGCCTGTGCCTTTTCCTCTATAAAGCATCTTGTAGTCAACTAGATGTTGTTCTGGTTTGGTTTTAGTTTGGAGTTTCTGGGTAGAGTGTGACTTCCTAATAAGACAGCCATGGGAGGACAGGAATGTGCAGACTCTTCTTTGGTGGAGACTTTTGTTTATCTCTGTCCCAAACATTATTCCTTCCACATCCCTGGGCCAGAGTAAACGAAAGGTCTCCTCAAGAGATCAGGAGAGTTGCTAACAGGAACAACTGCCTCATTGAGCGGGGGATCTCCAAGCTTTCTAGGAGCTGCATTTGAAAAGGACTAAGAAGAAAACCAGATGACTACACCCAAAACAAGGAGCCAAGCAGAGGTGGCTGATGTTCTAGGGGACACCTTCCCCCCGACCCCAGCTTCCAGCTAAAGCCAGGTTTGGTTACTCACTGATACAACATGATATTTGATTTCTGCTGCTGATCTATGATCTCATCAGGGACTGCAGGCTTGATAATGGAGCGTCGGCCAAGGGTGTCCTGAAGGACCTTCATCAGCTCTGGGCTGGCTGCCTCCTTGTCTCCCTCGATCACTCCTATTTCAGCACGGCCTCCTCTCTCCCTGTCTCGAATATCCTTTGCCAGAAGCATAGCCTGTCAGAGAAGCCCAAGGGAGTCCTCAGCTCCTCTGGGACCCCTTTCTGCCTGATGTCTTTGGGGAGAACAGCCTAGATCTCAGACACAGGAGTTACTCGGTTGCTGAGGAGTCCAGGGTGAGTCACAAACTCACACACTTGGCCTGTCTCCAAGACAGATTCTACTCAAAGGCAGGGCTCCCCCTTGATTCTTGGGAAAGAGCCAGCATGGAGGGAAGAAGAAAGAGGAACTTGAGAGAGTGCTAAGGCTAGGAAGCCATACCTTCAGGCGCTCCCCACTGTTGCTCTCTGGGCCATTCCATTGGATGATGACTTTCCCAAGGTCCAGCAAGAAGACATCACCTCGGTTGAAACTGTCCCAGCTCATTTCCACCTGTTGATGAGAGGTAAACATTGTTCAGGAGGAATTCTTAGGTGCCAGGTAGAGAAATCCTGGGCCTGGGGCAGACAGTGTGCAGGACTAACCTCAGTGGCCCTGATGTTTCTTTTCCCCTTCACATGTAGCAGCCGCTTCACGTTGTAGGTGTTGGTCTCCACGTGCTTCATCCCAGAGGCGACACCCCCCTTCTTGTAGCTAAGGGAACATCCATTCAGTTATTTGAGTGCCTGCTATGTGCTAGGTTCTGGGGAGACAGTGGTGAATTACACAGATGCAGCCTCACTCGTGTGATGATGACAGTACCTATCAGCAAGGTAAATACAGATGGTGACAGCTGCTGCCCCACAAGTAGACTGGGTGAGTGACTTTCTGGTAGTGAGTCGGGACAGTCTTCTCTGAAGAAGTGACATTTGAGCTGAGATACTACAAGGAAAATGAACCAATACCCAGAGGAATAGTGCTCCAGGCAGAGGAGACATCAGTGACGAAGACCCCCTGCACAGAGGGCTTGTTTTGTTCCAGGAACTGTCTGAATGCCAGTGTGTCACTGGGAGAGGGGTACAAGTTGGGCCGCAGCAGAAGCATTAATGACTCCACAGCCTTAAGACCACCTACCCTAGGAATCAGCTCGCCCGCCCTGGCACTCAGTCCAGCCCAACCTCCGAGCCAGGCGTCCTGCACTTGAAAGGAATGCAGAAGGTAGCCCTGGAGCAGAGGGGCTTTGTCCTTGGGTTCCCCACTGGCTCAGTGTGGTCCTCTGTGCCCAGAAGGGCCTCAGTCAGTGGAGACTGCTGACCTGCAAGAAGCTGATCTTGGCCCGGCCTCACAATTCTCAAGCTCATTGGAATTTCTCTTTTTGTTTTAATATCAGGGGCAAAGTTTTGAGTTAAACTTCTCAGTTGATGGAACATTATCATCGGCCTTCACTCCCTCTCTTGTGTTAGGTGTCTGTGCATTCCCTTTACCTGCTTGCCCTACTCCCATTCCTTTCCCCATACGCTTCCATTCTAACTGTTGACCTTTTTATTTTCATTCTAGTAAACTGTGCCTCGCCCTCCCCCCCCTTTTTTTTTTTGAAGACAGGGTCTCTCTCTGTCACCCGGGCTAGAGTTCAGTAGTGCAATCATGGCTTATTGCAGCCTTGACCTCCCGGGCTTAAGTGATCCTCATCAGGGACTGCAGGCTCGATAACTGAGGGCTCGATACCCTCAGCCCATGGAGTAGCTAGGACTATAGGAGTGCACCACCATGCCTGGCTAGCTTTTTTACAAAGTATTTTTTTGTAGAGATGGGGAATCTCACTATGTTGCCTAGGCTGGTCTTGAACTCTTGGGCTTAAGCGATCCTCCTGCCTCAGCCTCACAAAGTGCTGGGATTACAGGCGTGAGCCACCATGCCCAACCTATCATGTTGTTTTGTGTGCATGGTTTTGTTTTGTTTTGTTTGAGATGGTGTCTTGCTCTGTCACGGTACTGGAGGGCAGTGGCGTGATCTCAGCTCACTGCAACCTCCACCTCCTGGGTTCAAGTGATTCTCCTGCCTCAGCCTCTCGAGTATCTGGCATTACAGGTACGCGCCACCACACCCGGCTAATTTTTGTATTTTTAGTAGAGACGGGGTTTCACCATGTTGACCAGGCTGGTCTTGAATTCCTGACCTTGTGATCTGCCTGCCTTGGCCTCCCAAAGTGCTGGGATTACAGGCATGAGCCACCACGTCCGTCCATGCATGTGCTTTTTAAAACAGAAATTGGCATTCTGTTATATGTCCTAGTCTGTTTCTTACTTTGTGTGCTAAGCACCATGTTTGTGAGCTCTGTCCTTGTGTTAGGCATGTATCTAATCTGTTGCTTCTGGCTACTGCATAATACTCCGTGGTGTGCATGTCCTGTCTCCCAGTTATGGACACCTATGTTGCCTGCAGCTTCCTAACATCATTAATGAGGCTGCTGTGAACAGTGTGGTCCATGTGCCCTTATGGACATGGATACGTGAGGATTTCTGTGAGTTACACACGCAGAAGTGCGATTTGCAAGTGGCACTGACTACTCTCCAGGATGCTGCGCTAGTCTATACTTCCATCAGCAGGGCACAAGGGCTCCTATTTCCCCATAGCCTTGCCAACACTTGTCACCTCCCAGCTGTTTAATTTGCTACTCTAGTGGGTGGAAGTGACAGCTTTGTTTTGATTTGCATTTCTCTGATTACTTTCTTGATATGCATGTTGGCCTTTTGGGTTTCCTCCTCTGTAAACTGCTGTTTCTGTCCTTACTCTGTGCACCCCTACTCACATGATGCCCTGCTTGAAGTAGCCACGGAAGGTGTCTGACTCATGGTACTGGACCTCTCGGTGCTGCACAGGGCTGCCTCCCAGGTAGTCGTCCAGCTGTGTGGTGTAGATGGCTGCACAGCTCTGCTCATCCTGGGAGGAGTCCTTCCCGATCCAGAAGTGGATGTCCTGGGATAGGAGACTGGCCACTCTCCGGGTCTGGGATGTAGTCAGAGAGATCAGGTCAGGGGCCAGCTCACCTCCCCCTTTGCTGGTGGCCCCTCTGTCATGGGGAGAATGCAGCACATGTGCCTGCCCTTGGCAGACTGAGGGCCCTCTCTCCTGTGGTGGATGCAGGAGCTGCCCTGGCCCCCGAGCAGCCCTGCAATCATGGCATAAGCTTTGGCAGCCCAAATTCCTCCCCACATCTGGGTAAAGTTGACAGCTTGTTGTTCCCCAAATAAATAGAGACCAACGGGGATCTTTTCCCAGCCAGGTTGCAGGCTTACCTCACAGGTCCCCTTGGTCCCTTACACTCACACAGCTGGCACAGTGCTGATCTGTACACCTGCACGGCCCTGTCAGCACCGTTCATGTGAGTCTCCTCCATGAGAATCAGCACTTTAAGGCTAGAGACAGGCCTTGCATTTATCTGGCTTTCTTCCACACCACTTTTAATGTGGGACCTAGGCCTGGGAGAAGTGCTGCTTGTGGGTGGCTCACTGAGGTTCAGACTGAGGGTCATACCCCCATCCTCTGATGCAGAATTTAAAACCCAGGCCTAATGATGGCCTTTGATAGACTGGAGGTCTGCTCATAGCACTGAGGAACCATTGAGACCGATACCAGGGACTATCTTCCCTCACCAGCACATCTCCCAGTAGAGCCCAAGAACTGGCCCCAGGGGAGAAGCTCACAGGAGTGGGGAGGAGGAGGAGGGTGCTCACCGAGAGGATGACATAGCAGTCCCCCTCATAGAAGTTGCCATGGGCTCTCACAGGCACCAGCGCCAGCTCCATTTTCTGGAAGGACAAGGGGTGGGTATAGGCTACATCCCCTCCCACCTCCCTTCCCCATGAGCCTCCCTCTCCTCTCTGTCATTTGGTGCAGGTGGTGGGGAGAAGGAAGGGAGATGTTCCCAATGACCTTATAGGACGTGAGGCAGCCAGCCACAGGGTTAATGTAGCCACTCCTCTGGTTTCTGTGAGCTCTGCTTGCATCACCCTGGATCTGAATCTGGTCCCTATCCTGCTTTCCCTCGCCCTATTCTCTCCACTTCCTACCCGATCTCATCTCACACTATTGTGGGAAGCCTGTGAGCCACCTCCAGCCCTTTGCTGGATATAAACGACCAAGTACAAACCCTTCTCTGAGCTGTTGTGCCAGAACCTCCAACGCTCTTCCCAATGCTGACCACAGGGTGCTGGACCAGGCCCATGTAGGAAAGAACACTTGGATTCTGCGGGGCCGTGGGAGGTGGAGGATAACATTTGGAGAGTGCCAGCGGTCAGCAGGGCTCTGTGCCAAGTGTCTTATATTTGGAGTCTGGGTCAGGGCCCTGATTTGTCACTGCATGTATGGCTTGCCCCTGGAGGACTGTTCACACAGCCTTCATGTAGATTTTCATCACACTCTCCAAGTGAGGGAAACTTGCAGCCATACTTGTGTGTGTTCTATGTGAAATGTGTTAAATGTTAAATATATTGCAATTCTGGTAACCGTGTTTTAGTACCTGTTAGTTATTTTTGTTTGTTTGTTTTGAGATGGAATCTCTCTTTGTCGCCCAGGCTGGAGTGCAGTGGCACTATCTCGGCTCACTGCAAGTTCCACCTCCTGGGTTCACGCCATTTTCCTGCCTCGGCCTCCCAAGTAGCTGGGACTACAGGTGCCCACCACCACGCCCAGCTAAGTTTTTGTATTTGTAGTAGAGGCGGGGTTTCACCGTGTTAGCCAGAATGGTCTCGGTCTCCTGAACTCATGATCTGCCCACCTCGGCCTCCCAAAGTGCTGGGATTACAGGCGTAAACCACTGCACCCGGCCAGTACCTGTTAGTTTTTAAGGAAACTGGAAGCCTTAAAACAATGGAAGTGACCTGGGACTCACAATCTCTGAGAGGCTTGCTGGAGAGCTGACTCCCCATCCTGGTTGAGAATAGTGAAGTGAGGCATTACCTCTGGGTTTTATGCAGCAGCAACTGACTGGGCTCGGGGCGGGGGTTAGGGGGAATCTTCATATCTGGCAGGTGGAGCTACCCAGGCCAGGGTAGTTCCCAGCTATGGATTGCTGGATGTCACAGCCACACAGAGTGGCCCAAGCCCAAGAGGAGATGGGCTGAACAGCGCCTCATCTCTGCAGTGCCCCCTCACCTCTCCCCATATTTTGTAGGAGCCAGGGTGCCCTGTGGAAGACATGTTCCATTTCTCTGATGGAAGCTGCCAGGAATCTGCTGAGTAGGTCCCACCTGTCTTTCCAGGGTATTTCCTGCGAGTGCAGACTCACTGAGCAGGTGGCTGGCTAAAGGACAAGCTTGTTTTTGCCTGGAGCCCTGCTCTTCAGGTCTGAACATTTCCTCCACCTGCCAGCCACCTGCTTTGAGCACCCAGGAGAGGTAAAGGATGGGAAATAGGTACTTTGATGCTGCCTCTCATTCTCCTCAAACCACAGGCTAAGGGGTGCTGGCGGGCTGTTGCCTAGCAGCCCCAGGCAGCCAGACTCTGCTTCCAGACTCCAGTAGTCACAAGTAAGGTGCCTCCAGCCCACCTCACCTCTATTCTCCAGACGATGATCCCAGGGTCATTGTCCACAGCCCTGAAGGCACTGGTCAGAGACATGGTGCTTGTCTTTCCAAGACTGAAACATCACAGAACACAGGGAGGTGATGCCTCTCGCCATAGTGGGCATCAATCCAGTTTTTCTGCTGAGTTGCTTCCCAGTCTGTTGTCAGCCATCTTGCCACACCCTCGTGGTGCATCCCTGCACCATTTCACAATGATGGGGTCAAGGACTTGTCCGTCCAAGTGCACATGGTCAGCCTGGCTGGCCCAGGGATTACCATCCATGAGTTCTGCTTCTCACCTGCCACTGCCCTTAACAACTCTGGTAATCGTCATGGTTATTTACCAAAGGGGTGATAAATATGTTAAGCCCTGTATTGATTCACTTTGCGTATGTTATCTCTAATTTTCAGAAGGTGATTTTCTTCATCTTACGTTGTGTGAATTTGAGGTTTAGAAAGGCTGAATAACTTGTACAAGATCACACTCTAGAATGAAATCCTTATCTGATTCCCAAACCTATGCTTCTAGCCACTTTGATATACTACAACCCTTTCTAAACCAATCTAAGTTCAGTGGCATTTGGAAAGAAAAGCTAGTCAGAAAAAATATTTCCAAACTCAGTTGCCTTCTCTCACTCATTCCCTCTAATTCTTCCCAAGTTCCCTGCTTGCAAGGCCTTCTCCACAGTCAACTTTGACCTTCTCTTTGGCTTTTATGTTTTTTTTTTTTTTTTTTTTGAGTAAACTATTCTAAAACTCAAACAACCCTTCCTTCTTTTGTCATATGACTACTATATTTCCTGTGCTTTCCAGATACAAAGGAAAGTAAAATGACAGGGCTGGGCCTGGGACAAAGGGTTCTGGGTGCCAGCAGGGTGTGGCCTGGTCTGGCCTGTGGACAGATGGCTTCCTTTCTCCCTCCCACACAGACCCAAGCTTCTCCGTGGAAGTGTGAACCTCAGACACTTAGACGTCTCCAGTTCCTTCAGGATTGGGCAAGTCAGGGTGGGGAGAGGGAGGAAGTGGTAAAGATCTAAGTCTGTGTGGGTCGTGTACCGTCTGTATTCAAGGAGCATCTTGAGTAATTAAGCACCTACCCATGTCCAAGGTCACGTAGAGGCTTTATAGAATTAAAATACCTGCTCTCAAGGAGCTTGAAATCTGATAACATGCATAATTCATGTAAAGCTAGATGAATTTCTCCTGACAGGCAAAGGAAAAAGGATGGGGTTGATGGATTTACATAAGATTTAAAAATTCACCCAGAAAGGACTGTATGGATTTTTGCTATTTGGGGACATACTGTGCTTGTTAAGAGGAACATGTCTGACCATTGTTTTCTTGAACCTTGATGGACAAAGCCAAGTTGGAGAACATGCGCCATCTAGTATGGACTTTGGCAAAAAACCATAAAGCACAAAGCAAACTCCCTTTGTCTACTGCTATAACAGGACTAAAGCAAGGCAATGGTGCGGAGCAGCCAGTGTTTGAGAATTTAATTTGATAACTTGTGCTGCCCCACCCTGTGCTGCTCAGAATTGCCAGGAAATATGGTGTTTGGGTTTTCTTCAGACCCTGTGTAGCAGTCATTAAAGGCAAAAGCCATGAGCCAATTGGGGGAAGGGGACAAAGGCCAGTGAATTTATTCCTTGGAGACAGAACTGTCACCCTGGTAAAAGCCACACCAGCCGGCAGCAGTTAGGACTGTGAGCCTCAGAGGCTGAAACCTGTCCCATTTCCCAGCAGGAATTTAGGAATCAAGGAGCTCACTGGGCTAGGCACCCGGAATGCGAGAGGATAAACTCCAGGAAGGGACTTCCTGCCACACTGGAACACACAGAAAACACAGTTCTAACATCAAAGTCTCCCAAAGCTGCGTCTCTCCTTCTCTCCTCCCTAAATCCTAATTCAGTGTTCTTTGAGGGGACTACAGAAACCCCTTGGGTCACAGTTTTGAGGTTAAAAGCCAGTGGCCTTTAATTCTCAGAGATGCCCTTATGGATGGACCCTGAGCAGAGGAAGCTGTTTTTTGTTATTGTTTTTGAGACAGGGTCTTGCTCTGTCACCCAGGCTGGAGTGCAGTGGTACGATCACAGCTCACTGCAACCTCCACCTCCTGGGCTTAAGTAATCCTTCTGCCTCAGCCTCCTGAGAAGCTGAGACCACAGGTGTGCACCACCATGCCTGGCTATTTTATTATTTTTTGTAAAGACGGGGTCTCACTGTGTTGCCCAGGATGGTCACAAGTTACAAATTCCTGGGCTCAAACAATCCTCATTCCCTGGCTTCCCAAAGTGTTGGGATTACAGGTGTGAGCCACTTCTCTGGGCCAGGAAGCTGGTTTTAACTCCTCCTGCCTTGCTCCATACCATTTTTCTCTGAGGATAGGTGAAAGGGGTCTGTCTTTCCCAGCTTTTGAAAATGTGCCCTATATGTTCAGCTGCCTCTAAGGGCTTCTACTTCTCAACAAGAAGTTTGCAAAACTGGCGAGACTCTTGGTTCATTTTAAGTCTCATCTCAGAGGACAAAGCCAAGGGAATCTCAAGCTCCTGTTCCTTTCATTTATTCCTCATTCAGGAGGATTAACTGGCATGCCCCCGTAAATCAGAGACCTTACCTTGCCTTCTCGCTCACCAGCTTTCCCAGTTGTTTCCCGGTGAGTAAGCAGCAGCAGCAGTATTGAAGAACCACTCCAAAGCAGGAGGCTCCGGGTCTGCTGCCTTAGCTTAGTAATGGCCGCAGAGACACTGAGTTATATTTGCTTGTGTTTGCATCTTAACTGCGTTTTCCTAGTCCTGGCCAATCAGAGCCAACCTAGCACTGAGCTTGACTTATTCAAACCAGAGGGAAAGCTTTATCTGTGCCTATTCAAAACAGCAAAACAAGAAGAGCAGACTTTTAAAGGCTTCTTTTAACTCCAGCTCCACGCCCTGATCTAATTGATTTTTTAAAAAGTGCACACAGCCCATCAATAATGCAGGAAAGAGGTTGGAAGGATATGAAATTTGCCATATTGTAGATATGGATGCATTATGGTGATGACAGGAGGCAGAGGCTGGAGCTGCCCCATGTGTGCCTGTGATGTCTAGGCTGGCAAGAGCCTCCTGAAGAAGCTTCTGGCATTTCTCAAAGGGAGGGGAAGTCTGGGAGAGGAGCCAGGAGAATTTTATTAGTTTTGCTCATTGGGGTCTCTATTAGTCATACAGTAAACCAATCAATATTTGAGTGCCTACTGTTTGCCAGGAACCATGCTGGGCTCTCAGCTTCAGAGTTCCCAATTTAGAAGAATCAGGGGCAGAGAAGAATCAAGACTCCATTCCCAGCCTGGGCGCGGTGGCTCACGCCTGTAATCCCAGTACTTTCCGGGGCCGAGGCAGGCGATCACGAGGTCAGGAGATGGAGACCATCCTGGCTCACATGGTGAAACCCTGTCTCTACTAAAAGTACAAAAAATTAGCTGGGTGTGGTGGCGGGTGCGTGTAGTCCCAGCTACTTGGGAGGCTGAGGCAGAATAGTGTGAGCCCGGGAGGTGGAGCTTGTGGTGAGTCGAGATTGTGCCACTGCACTCCAGCCTGGGGACAGAGCGAGACTCCGTCTCAAAAAAAAAAAAAAAAACTCGGCCGGGCGCGGTGGCTCAAGCCTGTAATCCCAGCACTTTGGGAGGCCGAGGCGGGTGGATCACGACGTCAGGAGATCGAGACCATCCTGGCTAACATGGTGAAACCCCGTCTCTACTAAAAATACAAAAAACTAGCCGGGCGTGGTGGCGGGCGCCTGTAGTCCCAGCTTCTCGGAGGCTGAGGCGGGAGAATGGCATGAACCCGGGAGGTGGAGCTTGCAGTGAGCCGAGATCGGGCCACTGCACTCCAGCCTGGACCACACAGCGAGACTCCGTCTCAAAAAAAAAAAAAAAAAAAAAAACCAAAAAACTCCATTCCAGGGCCCGGTGCGGTGATGGATCACACCTGTAATCCCAGCACTTTAGGAGGCTGAGGTGGGTGGATCACGAGGTCAGGAGTTCAAGAATAGCCTGGCCAAGATGGTGAAACCCCATCTCTACTAAAAATACAAAAATTAACCGCACATGGTGGTGGGCGCCTGTAATCCCAGCTACTCAGGAGGCTGAGGCAGGAGAATCTCTTGAACCCGGGAAGTGGCGGTTGCAGTGAGCCGAGATCACGCCACTGCACTCTAGCCTGGGCAACAGGGCAAGACTCTATCTCAAAAAAAAAAAAAAAAAAGACTCCATTCCCTTAGGGCTTCTGGTTGATGCCCAGAAGTCAACAGGACATCAAGCATATATGCTTGCTAAGCACCTGACTGCAATGGGGTTGATCACAGCAGAACTTGTGTAACTTTGAGTGGAAGCCCTATGTGGCATCTGCAGCTGGTCTCCCGGTGGGTACAACACCCCACTCAGCCTGGGGTGCAGCTGCTTCACGATGGAAGGGGTTGCGAGAAGAAAGGCGGTGATTGCTAAGGGCTCAGTGAACACCTAAGGGCCAATGAAGGTCAGTGGCAGCTCACATTCCTGGATAGGTTTTTAAAACCACTTTTATTAATTAATTGTAAGTAATACAAATATTCCAAAAATATAAACAGACACTTAATGGCGTCCTGCATTTCAAGTTTTTGAATACAACAAATTTATCAAACCATGAATCTGTAAGCAAGGTAGTCAGCATCCCATAGCCCAGTTACAGTGGGAAGCAGATCCCCTACCCTCCAAGTGGCGTCTTGAAGGGGGAAAGCGGCACGAGATTGAACATGATAAGCAAAAAAGCTCACGAGGCCCAAAGAGGAGGGTCCACTCCAGGGGCAGGCCCTACAACGTTAAAAGAATGGGGGCAGCTGGCCTGACCTCTGGCCTCCTCTTTCCTGGCTGAATGTAGATATTTACCGGCATTTAGAAAAAAGGAGAAAAAGACAGAACTAAACCCCTGTTTAGGAAAAAGGGACCGAGGGACAGCAGTGGTTAAGTAATCCACTGAGGACCTGAAGGGGAAAATGAACTTACCTTTCTCATATACTTGACCTGGCTAGGACACTAAGTGCCAGACAGCCTTCTGAGGGGACTTTCTTTCTAAATGAGGCCTCAGGAACAGGTAGGGGCAGCAGAATAGAGTAACATCCATTTCCCAGGGAAAGACTGCCCTTACACTTCCCATGCTTTTAGCACAAAGCAGCGTCTGGGCCACTGTTACCAGAGGTGAGTTTATACATTTACAAAATGCTTAAAATCTTTGGGAGGCAGAAGGAAGCTAAACAGAAGGTCCCAGGTTAACTGAAGGCAAATTCACTCAACCTTTCTAGTAAGGGACCCATGGGCCTACAGAGTGTCCCCTCTACAATGTGCAGAGTGGAAACCCTTACCTGACCCTTTTCCAAACTGGTCCTGTGTCCAAAGCTCCCCCTATGAGAGGGACACGAACATCAGGCTTTTGATTTAGAAGCCCAATCAGAGAGACACACTGTGTCCCTGAAGAGGCACCTTAAAAGAACTGAACCTGGCAGGTAGGCAGATTCCTGGCATGGCTTGAATTGGTGCTGACCAAGCATGGTGGCCTATTATCTCCCAAAGACCAGTCTCAAGTGGGAGGGGCTGATGGTGGGAAGCCCTAGAACAGAGTCCGAGATGAAGCAGCTTCCTCCCTGTCTTGCCCTCCAAAATTGAGTCTGGCCTGATTCCTCTGAGGAGCAAATTTTACAGTCATCCCTCACCCTAACACACGGTGAAACTGGAAACCCGACAGCAAATAATGACTAGGCTGGCTCTGGTTCACATGAATGGACCCTGGCTAGGTTTGGCTGAGTAGCTTCTCTGGGGCAAGTGGGAATGGCATTGCTGTGGGGGAGTTGCAGGTGGGCAGGCAGGGTTCTGATGGGAGCGAGGCCTAGAAAGCAGGGGCTTCATGCAGATGCAGCAGGGACACTCCCACCAAGCCATCCTGGGCTTTGGTCATGGGCCCCACACCAAGCACTTGGACAAGCCTGTTAGGAAAGGGGGTGGCACACGCTCTTCTTTCATCTGGAAAAACATGGAGATCCAAGGGAGGGCAGAAAGGGTCCTAGAAACTCAAGTCAGCTTAGAGCATCTTATTGCTTATTTAGTCAGAAGAGCCTAGCTGGGCCCATACAGAAAAAGATTTGGCCAAGGGCTAACCCTTAGGGTGGGGCTTGGAAGAGAGGCCCCTCCTGCAATATTAGGATAGCAGCCTAGGCCAGGCCTTGGGTCCAAAGCCACAGTTGGCTCTAAGGGTCTGAGCTCCAGCTTTCCTTCAAGAGATGGTATTCCTGGCTAGCATATGGGGCCCTTTTCCCTTTAGGTACACTGGGACCCCACAGGCCAGGGGAATGATGCTGGCGGAAATGACCACATGAGTTCTGGGGACTCTGTTCCACTTTGATTCCAAAGAGAAAGACAAGGCCCTATAACCTTGTAACAGGAGGGAAGGTGGTACCACAACGCTAGAGAAAGATGCCAGCCAGCCAGCCAGCTACCACTGAGAGCACCAAGCTGCTGCTCTACCCTCTGCTTTTCTCGGAACTTATTAGTTCCTGAGGCTGGACCTAGGGTGTGGCAATGGAAGGGATAATGGGGAAGAGTCCTGAGTGGGTGGTGTCCCTGCACCTGAAGCAATTCATAAATGCTTTGTGATACCTGCCTCCAGGGAACACAGAGATGGGAATAGGAGCTCCCTCCCACCCCAGGAGGGAGGGAGGGAGGGAAGAGAGAACCCCACCCACCCAGGGAGGCCATAATTAAGGCAGTGATGCTGAGGTGGGGCTCCTTTTTGGGAGGCCCCTTGTGCTCCCAATTACAGCAGCACTTCCTCATTTTCCACCCTGGGAAAACTTCCATTTCATGATGACTTTAATTCTAAAGCATTCACTATTAAGAACCTTTGAAAGCAGGAGACACCCAGAGTGCAGGTCTGAGGGGCTCACTCACTTCTGTTACCAGAGGCAGAAAGCATGTGCATTAGGCTGGCAAATGGCAAGAACACTCATTCCCCCTCAGCCCAGGAACAGTAGAAGTTCTGAGGCCCTCGGGAGGCAAAGCAACAGCCAGGAAGGATGAAGGCTGGAACAGACAGAGCTCAGTAGAGGATAGGCCCTGGGGGAAGACACAACAGGAAAGAGCCCTGCCCAAGAAATGGGAGGGGCTGGGGCAGCTTAGTTCTCCCCAGCCCTTGGAACAAAAGTCCTTGCACCAGCACCAGCAGAGAATCCCTGAAGAGCAGACTTATGGAAATGATCCCGAGCTCAGCTGATCCACAAGTCACGGGGACACACATGTCCACGCTTTGAGGATTTATCTTTTCCCTGCAACCTCAGCGCTGCCGACATTCATCACAGGCCCAGGATTGTAACTTTGTCAGAAACAAACCAGGCCCGACACTCCGTGTTTAGAAAGAGAATTTTAAAACAGAGTCAAAAGAACGGAAATCAGTTATCTGTCCTCTTCCCGGGCAGGGAGAAAACCTCCTTCCCCACGTTTGAGACTATGACTAGGTGGTGAGGAAGGCAGGCTCAGCACCCCAGCCTTGGGGAAACAGAAAGGGCCCGTCCCAGGCACTCAGCTGGACGCAAGCACAGCCTTTGGGCCACAAGACCTGATGGCCACTGGGTGCTGGTCTGGAAATAAGTCCTCATCTTCCCAGAAATGTGATCTTTTGTCTGCAGCAGCTGGCTGGAGAAGGATTTCAGAAAGGTGTGTGCCTGGAGTACCCAAAGGCATACCCTTCCTTTATCCTTGGCATAGGCCTTACAACACTGAGGAAAGGCCATGGTTTGGCAATGGAGCCTTCAATAGTCTTCATCCCTATAGAACTCAGTGGCTCTTAGGGTGACAGAGGAGACAAGCTAACTTGGGAAGAGTCTTGGTCTTTCAGCTTCTCCCCCACTGAAACACTATATGCTGGGGCCACAGTTCATGGCAAAACACACACACACAAACACACTCTCTCTCAAACACACATCTCAACAAGGTGGTGGCAGATAGCTCTGGGTATCGTTGCTCTGGCATTTGCCCACTTGGCATCTCAGCTGTCCTAAAGCTCTTTCCAATTACTTCTCACTCTTTACGGGCTGTGTGGTGAGGCACTCCAGCTTCTACTCTGTCACGCTGATCAAAAAGGCACAGTGTGGGAAAGTCCCCTACTGGGATGGCCGTTGCTTGGAAGCAGGGCAGGCTAAGGGGCCCGCAGCTGCCCAAGGCTGGTGTAGACGTCCTCTGCTCCGCTCAGCTCCTCAAAGATTGGGATCAGGTTCAGCAACTCAGTGTCTGCCATGTCATCAAACCAGGACTGCACAGGCACCTGGTGGGGGGAAGATGTGGTGTCAATCTCCCAACTGCCGCTTCCTCCTCCCTCACCCCAGAGCCCTAGAGGGTGGCTGGGTCTTCCTGGAGGGGTGTACTTCTCTGGTGGAGCCCACAGTTCCAGTCTGCTTCCTCTCCCAATCCCTACCGTGGAGACGTGTCAGGAGCACTCACTGCATTCTCAGGGTGGAAGATGTAAGAAGCAGGTGAGTTGTCCAGGATGAGGGTCTTCCTCAGGTCCCTACCCAGGCGGCTGAGGTCCTTGACGTAGCAGCCCTGGTGGAACACGCAGGACTCACGGAATAGGCGGGCCCGGAACACCCCACACCGATCCAGCAGGTCTGTCACAGGGTCGGCATACTAGGAGGAGAGAAGATGCCTTAGTATGGATGCAGTCCTGGTCCTCCTGTGGCACCCTAGGGACCAAAAGGGAGCTGCTGGACCACCCCTGTGGCCACCACACCCACTCCTGGTTCTTCCCTCTCACCCCTAGGTACCTTGGCCAGGCTGGCAGTGAAGAGAACACATTCAAAGAGTTCCCCCATACGTCTCAGGAACTCATCCACATAAGGCCTCTTGAGCACATACACCTGAGGAAGAGCAGAGCAGCCTGTTGGAAGCCTCCCTGTGATGAAGCTTTGCAGTACGAGGTACCTTCACCAGTTACAGAGAGCAGCAAGGAGCTCTCAACCCCTGCAGCCCAGCCTCTTGGACTACCTGGCTGGAAGCCTGCGGCCCCCTGAGGGTCCACAGACCCTGAGAACTGGCTGTATCCCCTCACCAGGTTTCCAATGGATCAGTGGTCCCAACCTCAACCTGGCGCAGGAAGAAGTGCATACACCTTGTCCCAGAAGCCATCTCTGTTTCCGGCGGCGGACCATCAGCTGCCTCCAGAAACAAGTAATCAAGAATAGGCCTCACAGATGGAAACAGCCTATCCTGGATTACTTGAATCCAGCCACAGCCTCTATGGGAGCTTTCTGTCCTTGGCTCCAACAGGACAGTCTGTCCAGGTCACGATCAGGTAATGAACTGCACCAGGGAGCAGTGACTTTATCCCCTCAATGGCCCCATTCTAGACAGATACTCTGCCGACTCTTGCTCTGCACCAGATTTTGTGCTTGCTTCTGCCAGCCACCCCTAACACCTGCGTCCACCTTTACGATCTTGCACATTTTGGCAAGTCCTTTGGCTACCTGACCCCCCATCGGTCTGCACTCTATTGCTTCCATGACTCTAGCCTACACAGGTGCTATCAGAACCATTTCCAGAAAGGTCCTTTTTCTTTTTTTATTTTTTAGAGATGGGGTCTTGCTGTGTGAGGCCAGGCTGGTTGTAACTTGTGGGCTCAAGTGTTCCTCCTGCCTCAGCCTCCCAGAGTGCTGGGATGACAGGTGTAAGCCACGGCGCCTGACTCCCAAAGCTCCTTTACCCACATAACTCCCGAGCTCAACGAGAGTCAGCCTGCCGTGACTCTCCCTCCTAGAGTGGGCCTGAACTGGCCACCAACTCACCAGACCCCTCAAGAGCTCTGCAGGAACCCTCTGTTCTAGGCAGCCACAACTTAGCATCTGTTAGCCTGCCATTCCTTTGACCTCCAACAAGCCCCTTCCTCATCCCAGCTATTCATCAAGTCTGGCATCCTTTCACCCACCTTGGGCAGGTAGTGCTCCCTTATTTTAACCTCATCCTTTTAAAAATTATTCATACCCTTCCTTGTTAGCCAGGAGTTCACAGTGTGTATCTGTTTGAAAATATGCCTTCACCTGTTCTACAAGGGTTTAGCACATCCCTATACCCTCAGCTAGACTGTAAAAGGGCTGCTGGACCAAGCCTGGTCCTGACCGGGGCCTGGCAGGTCTTCTGGGCAGGCAAGCTGAGTAAATGGTCTTTCACTAGCAATGTCACATGATCCTTAAGCCGGGACTGCCTGGGCTGCAGGCTGGAGCCTGGTCCGTTTAGATTTGAGTGCTCTTTACATTGACAGACATACATTGAGTACTTCCTCAGGCAGAATCCAATGGAGGGCCCCAGGGAAGGCAGTCAGAGAAGGCTTCACAGAGGAGGAGATGTCTGGGCTGGGGAGGAAGAAAGTCACTAGCTATTCACAGTGGGGGTGTGGGGGGGGAGCATGGGCAAGAGGGCATTCCAAGCAGAGAAAATGGTTACTACTGGTTTCCTTGCCTGTTACAGGAAAAGAGATACCTGGTTAAGGTATCTTAACAGGTATAGATACCTTTCTTAAGGAACAGAGAAATGTAATAAATCATGTTAACAGTGCTGGCCACGTGAGAGGATGGTGGTTAACAAATGATAGCTATTATTATTATTATTAAATAAAATGTAAACTATTTTTTTAAACAGCTTGGTTGCAAAGAGAAAACAAGGGTGACAGCTGGGGGGGATATGGGCTGAAACTCTTTTTTTAAGATGAGAAAGCCTTGAGTGTGAAAGATACCAATAAAAAGGGGAGGCTGGAGTTATAGAAAAGGGATCAGCTGACAGAACGCAAGCCCTGAGACGGGTGGAGGACCCCAGTATGCGTGGGGCAGAAGGCAGACCCCCCACCCTCTGGGCTGGGTGTGGTCGGGCTGGCAGCTCACCTGGTGAGTGGTCCCTTCAATCTCTATAGGCACTATGAAGTCAGCATTGTTGATTGGCTGGAAGGCAGAAAAGTTAATGCTGTCAGCATGGTGGCAAAGAAACATGAGGCCCCCACCATAACCCTAGGTGGGTGGGGAGAAACAGATCTTAGAGACTCCTGGAAGTGCCTCTGGCCGCCCCATTAAGGGGTTCTCACCCTAGTTCAAAATGTGATATCCCATTCTGGTTTTCCCTACTCCTTAGCACCTCCACTCTGACAAATTCTACCTGAGCTGAGAGTTTTGGGGCCTGAGTTTCCTGATGAGACAAGCAGGGGCAAGGGCCAAAGGTGATTCAACCACTCTTTTAGCCCTGCACAGAGCCCTGGTGGCTGTCTGTGCTATGTGGCTCAGGGGCAGATGCAGCCTGTTGGGAGTGATTGGAGATAGCAGCCCTGGTGGAACACACAGGGTTCCTACTCAACAGTCTTTAGTGGGGCCTCTAGATACCTGTGACACCAGGGTGGCCAAAATGCCAGAGGCCTGGCCTTTTCCCTTCTAATCTCTCCTCTTTCCTCACCTTTAGCTTCCTTACACAATTGTTGTCAGATTCACAAAAGGGCCCAAGATAAAGGTAGGAAGGGTTCCCCAGACGTTGAGTTACCTTAAATGAGCTATGCACAAGGGTTTCATCGAGGTCAATGACCACACAGATCCTTCCTTGATCTTCCTCTGTCACCTCTGGGAGCAGGCAGGTCCCTGGGATCTAAAACCAAGCCAGGTTGCTGAGATCTGCCCACCAAGAAAGCCCAGTTGTACCCCTTGGCATAACTATGGGAAGAGCTGGGCTGTTTGTGGAGACAATCACCAACCCAAGATAGGCACCTCTTAAAGGCCGGGAAGAGAGAAGGTGGAGTTGTTTCATTGCTTTCAGCCTCCCAATGGGACTATTAAGTGATCTGGACATTGGAGGTGGTGGCCAGGGCTGGTGTGGGATGGACAGCAGCTGTGGGAAGAGGGCATGGAGCACCAGCTGTCCCCTAAAATCTAATGCCTTGCACACAGCAGGCCCTCAACAAATATGGGGAATAAATGGCTTCGCAGGTCAGGGAGGTGGCTGGCCAGGCACCAAGGACTATGCACGTCACCCTGCCCATGGAGCTGGCAGGGATCACAGGGTCCTGGCTTCTGAGTACTTACCAGGCCAGAGTCACGTACCTGGTAGAATTGGTACTGGAGACACTGGAGCAGATCCGACTGAGGAAGAGAAGGAGGCGGTCAGCGCCATCTCACCGCCCTTCCCACCCCATTCAAACCCGCTACTTCTGTCTTAAGCCTGAAGGGCAACTTTCTCCTGCAGACCCAGCCACCTGGAAGCTCCTACCATGTGAAAACTTACTTTTCCTAGGAGTGGGGCAGGAAAAGGGAAAGGCTAGAGCTTCCTTTCCACATTAGGCCTGGTGAAGGATGAAGAAGACAAGTGTCCCTGTTCTCAGTTGACACTGCCTCTCAATTGGACAAAGTGAGGAACAGGGAACTCAAGTAACTGATTCAGGGACACAGAGTCGAGGCAGAACCAAAGTCTGAATTCCTCACAGTGGCAAACTCTCGCTAAGTCCTTAAACTCAGCTTCTCTTTGAGAATATGTTGTTTTCTATGCACTCCTTAGGGGTTATATGGGGGAACAAGCCCTACAAAACATCAAGTAAGCCACACTGTGGGTACCCAAAATGTGAGGGGAGGGAGTGCAGAGAGATCAGCAAGCCCCCCCACCCCAATTTTTGCTAATATAAATATTATGACCGCTGGGCGCAGGGGCTCACACCTATAATCCTAGCACTTTGGGAGGCCAAGGCGGGCGGATCACCTGAGGTCAAGAGTTCGAGACCAGCCTGATCAACATGGAGAAACCTTTTCCATCTCTACTAAAAATACAAAATTAGCCGGGCGTGGTGGCACATGTCTGTAATCCCAGCTACTCGGGAGGCTGAGGCAGGAGAATCGCTTGAACCCGGCAGGCGGAGGTTGCAGCGAGCCAAGATCATGCCATTGCACTCCAGCCTGGGCAACGAGAGCGAAACTCCGTCTCCAAAAAAAAAAAAAGAAAGGTTACAGTTTTAAGTGTTCTTAATGAAAACTCTGAAGAAAAATTAAAATCCTAGCACTTAGATAAACAATGTGGCATTCAGTGTACTGCCTTCAAATCTGTGTCAGCAGACTTTTTTCAGAATGCTATATAATTACACACTCTGCCTTTTTACTTAATGTTGCAAGTCAATACTTCTCCATGTTATTGAGAACTCTGTAAAAGCTAATCACTCAGTAATACTGTCATGTTGTATTTTATTTAACCATTTCCCCTACTGCAAAATGCAGTGATTTTTCACTGATGTATGTCTTCAGCCTGGTCTTGAGAAAAACGAAGGACAACCAGACCTCAGTGTTTCAGAGAAGTACTACTGGCTTTTGGGGCAGAATAATTTTTGTTGGTTGGGGCTGGCCCCACCTGTGAAGTACTAGACATATAAAAAATACCCACAAAATCCCAAATGCCTTGCGTGAGTACAGGAGAGAATTACTGACAGGAGTTATTAACAGCATGGTAGTTTCAATTCCTTGGTTCCCTGTAAGTCAGGTAACTTGGAAGTTAGCTTTGCATAGTTGAGAACAACAACACAGGCTTTAGAGCCAGAGAGATCTAAGTTCAAATCCTGACACTACTATTTATCAACCATGAACTCTTCAGGTGCCACATAAACCCTCTCCATAAACCCTTATCTGCAAAGTGTAAATCCTGTGATTTCCTTACAGGGCTGCTGGCTAGATCACATGAGACAATATATGCAAAGCACCTTGCCTAGTTCCTGAAACCTGGAAGGATCAGGATCACAGGGGCCGTCAGAAACCACAGGGACATCTGAATGGCCCATACCGCAAAGGGGAAGGAACAGAAAGGAAATGAACTACTTATGGAAGGATAGAGGAAGGGCCCCTCTCAGCCAGAAATCTTTGCAACCTCAGGCAAGGCTTCCTTGTCTGGTTGCCATCATTGGCAGGGATCTCCCACTAACAGTCCCTTCTTTGCTGGCATCTTACCACCCCAACCCACCTACCTTAGCAATGGTGTTTGCTTCCTCCTTATACGCGGCGAGCTCAGTGGAGGAACTTGACTGGCCAACATGCTGGGCACGAAAACAGCAGAAAAGGGCCTTGAAAATGTTACGTCCACGAGGCTTCTTAGGAGAGGACTTGGAGACCAGGCCTAGGGTGGACAGAATGAGAAGCCTTAGCTCTAGGGACATCAGTTTCTGTCCACAGATACTACCATGCCCATAGCTCTTCCAGTTTGTAAGCTCTACTAGGGCACACAGTATACGGCTGGTGAACAACCACATACAGTTAACAGTAAAACATACATGTTTATTCCAGCCTTTTCTCTTTAAAGCAGGAACGTCAGGAATCTCCATTCTCTGGGTTGGGAGACCTGAGCTACAGAGCATTTATTCTTCATTCCATGGGGGAAGATGAGGCCAGGCACAGAATCAAGGTGTTGTGCTGCTCCAGCTGCAGCCCACTCAAAATTAATTCACGAAGACAAAAATCCTCCCTAACATCAATTCCCAGGAAGGCCATCAGTTCCAGACAATGGAGTAACCTGGTCCCCTTCGAGTTAGTGGAGCTGTAGTTCTGTTCAGCATCAGCTTCCCTAGATACTGGGTCAGGGAAGGCAGAACTGAGCCCAATTTGCCTAAAAACCTCAGGCTAGAGGCTGGGCGCGGTGGCTCACACCTGTAATCCCAGCACTTTGGGAGGCCGAGGCAGGCGGATCACGAGGTCAGGAGATCGAGACCATGCTGGCTAACACGGTGAAACCCTGTCTCTACTAAAAATACAAAAAATTAGCCAGGTGAGGTGGCAGGCGCCTGTAGTCCCAGCTACTCGGGAGGCTGAGGCAGGAGAATGGTGGGAACCCGGGAGGCGGAGCTTGCAGTGAGCCCATATTGCGCTACGGCACTCCAGCCTGGGCAACAGAGTGAGACTCCCTCTCAAAAAAAAAAAAAAAAAAAAAAAAAAAAAAAAAAAAAAAAAAAAAAAACCCTTCAGGCTAGAAACAAGAGACTAGGAACTACAGAGCAGCCCCAGCCCCAAGGAAGAAGCTACACTTTTTGTTCACAGTCTTGTCTTCCTCCTCCACTCCAGCAGCTCTCTTTAAGGCCCCCCCACCCCCACCCCAGGATGGGGAGCCTAACTGGTAAAACACAAGATACCATGGATTAGCCCCTTGGAACACACATTTGCAGCCTCAGGTTCTAGGGTGATAGCCTTGCTTCTGGACTGAAGCTGCTTAGTCCTACCTTGATAATTTGGGTGGTGGAAACAAAGTCATTTTAATAGGAGACTTGGCAAGACATCCCCAGAAAGGCCAAGCAGATACAGAAAAAAACTATGAACATTACAGGATCAACTAGAAACGGACTTAAGGATAGCTTTTGCGCTGGGTGTGGTGGCTCATGCCTGTAATCTCAGCACTTTGGGAGGCCGAGGTGGGCGGATCACTAGAGGTCAGAAGTTCGAAACCAGCCTGGCCCACATGGTGAAACCCCGTCTCTACTAAAAATACAAAACAGCTGTGCGTGATGGCATGTGCTTGTAATCTCAGCTACTTGGGAGGCTGAGGCAGGAGAACTGTTTGAACCCAGGAGGTGGAGGTTGCAGTGAGCTGAGATCATGCCACTGCACTCCAGCCTGGCTGACACAGCAAGACTCTGTCTCAAAAAAAA